ATGTTATTGTGAGCACTGAGTGAGGCCATGTATTAGGAACCACTGAGGGTATATGGTATACAGTAGGTATATGCTGAAGGAAATCCATAGGAGACAGCAGGTGCAGCAAACAGAGCTTGAGTTCTGGAGTTAAGTGCTGGGTCAAAACCAAATAAGCCCACTGCTAAAAAAAAAAAATGTGTGACCTTGGTTAGGTGACTTAATTTCTCCCAACCTCAGTTCCTTTACCTGTAAAATGGGAATGCTAATATTTACCTTGTCAGGCTGCTTTGGGATTAAAAGAATTTAATGTGTTTAAAGGAACTAGTTTACCACTTGGTGTCTCATAGGAGCTGAAAATTGGTAACAGTCTTTAGTTTGGTTACCTTGGTTCTTTTATAACCCTATTTTTACAATCCAGTGATTTGGGGATATGACCAGTAATTAGTTTCTATATACTACACAGCTTCTTGTGTACTATATGACCTATTAAATGTAATCTCCTTGTATTTAAAATAATCTTGTAAACAGTGTGTGTGGATCATTCTTCCTTCTCTGCTAGACAAGGATTTCCTTGAAGGCAGGGAACATAACTTTTTTACCCTTTAGTCTAAACTACTTTCTAACACAAGTAAAAACCTCGGTTGAGTAAATGTCTCTTCTGTCCTTTATGCCAACAATGAGATGACAATTTTCATTACTTTCCTAAGTTAGCAATTAGTAATCAGTCTCCTGATGACTGGGAAGTAGAAGAGATCAGAAGCAGCCCCAGCTCTGTCCCTGGCGGCCATTCTCCCTCACATAGCACACATGGCTCACATCCTGCCTGCCTGGGCCTGGCAGCCCCGATGTCACTTAGAGGCCTGCACACCCGACCACCTTCCCTGCAGTAACCTGGGTAGAGAGGCCCCGGGAGAAAGAATTTCCTGGAACCCCAGCAGTGGAGTCACAATGTGATGGCCTCAGCATTGACACCTTAACCATTCGGGAGTTTTGAGGGTTACAGACTTGCTGTCCAGAACACTCCCTCTAACATCTTAGGTCTCCTTTCAAGGTGTTTGCAGCCTTGGGACCCCGGGGGCTAAGATCTTATTTGGAGTAGCCCGAGAAACTCAGTCAGCAATGCAAAATATCTGGGTTCCAGCCCTACCTAGTCACTTGTCCTTGTTGAAAACAAAACAAAACAATTACAACTCCCTGGATTTAACCTCAAGGTTATCCCCAAGGGCCAAGTCCCAGCCGGGAGTGACTGAGGCTTCCAGCCAAGCAGTGACTGCGCTTTGGAGAACCTGAGTGCGGTGGAGTCAAGCAAAGCCCTGTTTGATAATATCGTTTACATTCCCAAATCCTGGGTATCCAGCTTTCTTCCTATCCCTTGTGGCCCCTCCTAAGTTTAGCCGCTGGTGTAATGGGGTAACCATGGCAACAACCACCTGCCTATTTAAAACCATCTCCAATGCTAAATAAGGAAGCCTGAAGAAGACGGCTGCTTGTCTGCCTCTCCGTGGCCAAACTGGGCACTTCTGAGTGTTTGGGACATAGGCAGGCAGGCAGGGTAGAAGTGGCATGGACCCCAAAGTTCTCAATTTGCATCCTCAAGCCTGGCAATCTTAGGAAGCAGGGGCTGCCTCTGTCCCTCTGCTGCTGGCTAACCTGAACAGCTCAAACGTCTTCATTGTGACTCATTTCTATTTCAAGACCCTAAAAGCACCTGCTGTTCTCCAAAGTTGTCTTTCAGGTTTTCTGTCACATTCCGGGGACAGATGCAACCCCCAGTCCTGCTGAACTGGTCCAGACTCTGCTGCAAGAGCAATGCCTGCACAGATGGAGCAAAAAGTACCTAAATATCACCCTCTGCTTCATGTTCACACTATGCTCTCCGCCCCAGGAGGCGCTTAACCATTACCATAACATCCAACCTATGTTACAGCACGTTTCTACATTGCTTCTGTGTGGACTTATGCCCACCCTACTTATGATGACAAGAACGTCCCATCCTACATATTCATTTCCCCCTAACAGAAAAGATACCCATCTCCCCTGCTTGGAGAGGCACAGCTTTGGAATTTACTCCCTGTGACCTCCTCACTTGCTGCAAATAAATTACTTTGTGTGCCAGCTCCTTCTGGTGCACTTGTTGGAACTCGCTGGGAAGTGGGCCCATGGTTTTCAGTGGGTGATACCCCTATGTTTTCTTTCTTTCTTTTTTTTTTAAAGATTTTTTTTTTCAATTTATTTGAAAGTCAGAGTTACAGAGAGAGGTAGAGACAGAGAGAGAGGTCTTCTATCCGCTGGTTCACTCCCCAGATGGCCGCAACGGCCGGAGCTGAGCCGATCCGAAGCCAGGAGCTTCCTCCGGTCTCCCACGTGGGTGCAGGGGCCCAAGGACTTGGGCCATCTTTCACTGCCATCCCAGGCCACAGCAGAAAGCTGGATTGGAAGAGGAGCAGCCGGGACTAGAACCAGCGCCCATATGGGATTGCTGGCGCTTCAGTCCAGGGCATTAATGTGCTGCACCACAGCACTGGCCCCACCCCTATGTTTTCACTTATTAGGCAGGCATATGCATTGAGCACATCAATTTACATGCAAATCCATGTGCCCTGTCATGCCAAGTGACCATACTACCTAGCAAGGGTGAGGTGCAAAACTGACCTCAAGGGCCGCAGTTGCATAGCAGGGTAAAGCTGCCACCTGTAATGCCGCCATCTCATATGGGTGCCAGTTCTAGTCCCGGCTGCTCCATTTCAGGTCCAGCTCTCTGCTATGGCCTGGGAAAGCAGAAGATGGCCCAAGTGCTTGGACCCCTGCACCCATGTGGGAGACCCAGAAGAAGCTCCGGCTTCGGATTGGCTCAGTTCTGGCTGTTGTAGCCATCTGGGGAGTGAACCAGCAGATGGAAGACTCTCTCTCTCTCTCTCTCTACCTCTACCTCTGCCTCTACCTCTACCTCTGCCTCTGCCTCTGCCTCTGCCTCTACCTCTGCCTCTCTGTAGCTTTGCCTTTCAAATAAATAAATAAATCTTAAAAAAAAAAAACTAACCTCAAAAGTAGTCTTGTTAATGGGATCTGGGAAATGGGAAGAAAAACCAGTAATACAGATCACAGTGAGTTTGTTTCAACTTTGCATTGAAATTCACACTACAATTTTGTTGGCAGATGCATCTTTCTAAGTGTACTTAATCATATAGATGATTGATGATTTCTCTATTGATGTCATGTGCTGACCTGTTCCTTTCTGGAATGTGGAGGAATTTCTCTCTTCCTCTGCTTGCTTGTTCTCTACAAATTATAGAGATTTTGCTTGTTTCCCACAAGACATCATACAACTAACCACATGGAATGGCTTGCTCTTTCTCTAGCATACTGTATTCTTACTCCTTTGTATCATTTTTGTACATTTTTGGTTCTTTCTCCCTGGGTTGCCTTTCTCATTTTGTTGACCTGGAAAATATAGACTTATTCTCTGAGTCTTGGTTTGGGCGTCTGTTGCTGGAAAGCCTTTCACACCAGGTTCTGCTTCGTGTTCCTGTAGGTTCCCTCTCTTTCTATCACCCAACAGAAACCATCATGCGCATCTGCTTTTCAGCCTATTTGCACCACTGGGCTGTGAGCCCCATATACACCTATAGAACAATGTCTGGGATGTTTTCAAATGATACTGTTGACTGAATGGACAGAACTGCCATGGGCCTTCCAGGCATATGGCATCTTCAGAGGCATGTGTGCATGAGTATCTGTGAGGGCACCTCTAAGACAAAAGGAATGGGGGAGTGGAGTGGGGGAAGAGGGGTATTTCTTAAAGTGATTGGGTAAATGGGACTGTGAGAGGACAATTGGTTAAGCTGTAAACTTGTGATAGTTGCGGTAGGGGCTGGAAGTACACCTGTTCATGGTGTGTAGTGAGCATACGATCACAGGAATGAGCTGTGACAGACGCACATTCTATTAAGGTGAGCTCAGCTGCGGATAGACTCCACAGATCATTTTCCCGAGGCTGAAGTAGCTTCATTAGGCTCGGCTGCTGTTCCCTAAAAAGACTTTCTTCTTCTGAGTTAACCTCCTAGGTTGTGGGTCAAGGTAAAGAATGGGACTAGAGATGGCAAGCTCTTTGAGGGAGCTGGGCCTTAGATACATGTCTTCTGTACCTCCAACCTCTGCTTTGCTGGGAATTCTGTGGGCTAAGTAAACATCAGTCTCATCAGGATCAAAGCTCAAGTCCAAATTCTTAGCCAGCCTCCTCCTACCTGCCTGAATTGACGGTGGGATCCAGTGGTCATCTTGAAATAGTCAACAAAGAGGAAACCACAAGGATAGAAATTTGACAATGAGAAGGAAAAGAAGAAAGGAAGAACCGATCCTAGGGGTAGCTCTAAGCTGGTCACAGCTCCCCTTCTAAGGTACACAAAGGATTTGGTTTCATTTGCAAATGACCTGGTTTTCTTTTTCTTTTCACTTTCCAGCCTAACACCCAGACTTCACACAGGGCGTCCAGACTGAGGCTAGGACTTAGCGGGCTCCGGATCCCCTGCCTTTGCCTGGGCTTCTCTGCTGCTGCCCTCTGCTGTTGGGGGAGGCGCAGGGAACACCCTTCTGATCCCCCTGTCCAAACCCCGGAGTGGAAACAAACTGAGCCCCTCCCATGCTCCCTATCCCTACCAAAATGAATCTCGGGACCTAGAGGGTAAAGGAGCTGCTACTTTCCAGAAAGCAGGGGGCCCAGAAGGGGCTGAGTTAGCCAAGAGCACACTCCTCCTCAAAGGGGGTGCTCCACGACCCTGCTCCTGCCTGGGTCCCCACATCCCTCCCTCTGTACAGAGCCTCTGGGAGGGGACAGACAGCCCAGGCTGCGGCAGGTTTCTGACTCTTTTTTTTCTTCTTGGAATTGGAAACCCTCCTTCTGGCAACAGAGCAGGAAAATGCAGTCATACGAACGTTTCTCTGAGAGCACGTGGGAAGCCACAGTGTGGCCCACCATGCTGTTCTGGGCTGCAGAGCAGCTGGGTCTGCCGCTCTCTTACCTGCTGTTGAATTTTTCAGGGTGTTTCTCTCTCATCACGTGGAATCTGTGAGCAATGGAAGCATCCTGAAAGCGAAAGAGACGACAGCAGATGTTGGGTTAGAGGCCATGATCAGCGGGAGGGACCCACATACCCCTTCACTGAATCTCCTACATTTTTTTTAAAGCTTTTATTTAATGAATACAATTTTCATAGGTACAACTTTAGGAATATAGTGGTTCCCCCCCTCCAATACCTACCCTCCCTCCCCCACTGCATCTCCCATCCCATTCTTCTTTAAGATTCATTACTAATTAACTCTATATACAGAAGACCAACTGTATATTAAGTAAAGATTTCAACAGTTTGCACACACACACACACAACATATAAAATACAGTTTGAGAACAAGTTTTGCAGTTAATTCTCATAGTACAACACATTAAGGAGGGGAGTAAGTGCACAGTGACTTCTATTGTTAATTTAACAATCAACACTCTTATTTATGATGTCAGTGATCACCAAAGGCTCTTGCCATGAGCTGCCAAGGCTATGGAAACCTTTTGTGATCACAAACTCCGTTAGTACTTAGACAAGGCCATAAGTAAAGTGGAAGTTCTCTCCTCCTTCAGAGAAAAGTACCTCCTTCTTTAATGGCCCCTTCTTTCCATTGGGGTCTCATTCACAGAGATCCTTTATGTAGGATATTTTTGCCACAGTGTCTTGGCTTTCCATGCCTTCATTGCTCTCATGGGCTTTTCAGTCACATCTGAATACCTTAAGGGCTGATTCTGAGGCCAGAGTGTTACTTAAAGTGGTTATCTGCTATGTGGACTGCTTCCCATGTTGGACATTCCTCCTTTTTAGTTCTGTCTATTGTTATTACCAGGCACTTGATAATATTTATATGGTCTCTTTAACACTTAATCCTATCTATATATTCATTTTAAAACTTAATATGGTCATTTTAACAGTTAAGATGAATCCCCCAAACTTGACACTGCTTTGAAATACCACGCCCAAGGGTATAAGCCAGTGCCACCCAGATTCCTGGAACCTCTGCTGGTTTCTCTGGAGCCGTCACAATTGTCACTCAGTCCTCAACCCACAGGTGAGAATGAGAGTCTAGGAGCAGTAAGACAGCAGAGGTGCACGCGTGGGACTGAGTTTGTGTGTTTGGAAATACCTTGATGTATTAGTTCTTTAAAAACTCACTTTTTACTTGGGAATAATTTACTCACATAGAGTTGCAAACATAGCACAGTGTTCCTATGTCCATTTCACTAGCTTTCTGCAGGATAGCAGCTTAATGAAACCGTCTCGCATTGTCAAAACCATAGATCTGACATTGGTAAATGCTACTACATATTCACTCCTGCTTACCCATGTCAGGAGAAATTAGTGGCATTGGATAAAATACTTCATAGATCATAAAAAAGTAAATTGTTGACCAAGGCAGCCTTTCAAGATGTGTAATTGGAACTCCTGCTGCAGTACAGAAGGGCTGCCCAGAATGGAAGTTCACTAGGCATGTCACAGAATTTACATGGCTGTTAGTCCTTGAGAGCTCTAGATAAGTGGTCTGCAAATTAAAATGTGTTGGGAAACTTTGAGTAAGAAGAAGCTTCTGCTTCTTCATCACTCTACCCAAAGATCTCTCTGTAAGACCAGCAAAAGGGTCATTCCTACACACAATAGCCCCCTAGATGTCTAATGGACCCATCCCCTTGTGGCATCATTGGTCACCTGCTCTTCGGAACTCATGGTTAGGATGGCTCTCATGACATCATGCTTTGGGGCTGTCCATTCTCTGACCAGCATTGCTTAGCCCCGAGTCCAAGCTGCAGTCCATGCTCTCCATCCTGGGCCAACCCGTAAGTTCCCATAGTTGGTACTAGATGTCAAATGCTGATGGAGCCATGTCCAGCTCCAGACCCAATCCTGAGCATCAGCCCTAGGACCGAACTCATCTTTCCTCATCCGACTTCCACCCTTGTGAATGGATCTGTCTCCCAGCAGAACAACATGTAATGCCCTTCACCGCCTAGGCACCTTACTAGCCCTGTGGGTGCAGGCACCTGGCTTCATGGACAGGCTGGTTGGGATGGAGATGGGGGTGGCCCAGAAACAGGGGCCACTGATTTCCATTTATTCAAGAACAACAACAACAACAAAAAAAGCCAGAAACCAATTTTCAGGAATATGTGGCTAAAAGATCGCTGAAATTGCATTAAGGCAGATTTTCAGCTAATGCCTCTTAATTCCATTTCCGAGTAAGGAAACTCTACAAAAGAAACATTTCTGAAAAATAACTTCTGTTCCACAGGAGGTGCAGTTTGGTGTAGATGCTCCCTGAGCACACACTGTGCACAGTGAGCTGCACTTGGCACAGGAGTAAGCCCAGTCAGCTGTTCCCCTTTGCCAAGGGGGCAGCGCAAGTTTGTGGTTGGCAAGCATTCGTTGCTGAAATGTCTTGGGAGTTTAACAGTTCCACTTTAGCTAGTTATTGATTCTTTTTTTCTAGTTTAGGACACATCAAGAGTTGAACGTTGGGGCCAGTGCTGTGGTGTAGCGGGTAAAGCTGTCACCTGCAGCACTCGCGTTCCATATAGGTGTCCTGGCCGCTCCACTTCTGATCCAGCTCCCTGCTAACGTGCCTGGGAAAGTGGTGGAAGATAGCCAAAGTGCTTCGGCCCTTGCACCCACATGGGAGACCCAGAAGAAGCTCTTGGCTCCTGGCCATTGCTGCCATTTGGGGAGTGAACCAGCAGATGGAAGATTCTCTCTCTCTCTCTCTCTCTCTCTCTCTCTTCTCTACCTCTCTCTTTCTGTAACTCTGCCTTTCAAATAAATAAATAAATAAAGTAAAGTAGAAAAAAAAACAGAGCTGAAGGTCTTGGTGAGGACTCCCTGTGGATGCAGGGTTGGGAGAAGTGTGTGAACCGCTGCTTCCAACTTGACCCTATGCAGCCTGTATGGCTTCTCTGCTTCTCACACTCCCAGACTGTGCCTGTCTCCCTCTGTCTGAACAGTTTTAGTCAACACTCGCAGTAAGATTCATGTGACATTTATCAAAGGCTTCTCTAGAATTCAAGAAAACATTCCATCCATGTGAGCTTCTTTGAAGCACTAATTTTCTTCTGTCAGAAAAAGAAAGAAAAAGAAAAAAGCAATCCCGTGTTTCTTGCAACGGCTGGCACCTCACCCCCTCCCCACACACACCCAGTACTGCTGTCACTGGCTCCTGGTTTTTAATTCTCTGGGATATGCACACAGGCCTCCTCCCTCTGTCAAGTTCTGACTGTCCTTGGTTTTCCCTAACTGGGTTTTGCAAAGCTGCTTTCCACAGAGACCAGCCTTTAGTTCGCTCTTAGTCAAGGAGGGGGCTCCTCTTTTGACAATGGAATTCCTTGTAAACCTCAAAAGTAGCAAGGATACTTGGCAGCACTTTTGCTCTAAGTCTCAAAAAAGGAGATGACGAGAGACCCTGGCCTTGTTCTTCTATCTGGAAAGCCAGTCAAGGCCCCCTTCACTCTCCCGAGCTTCTCTGTGGCAAGCACTGTCCTGGGCATGTTTAAAAGTGGCAGTGATTTCATTTATATTTTGGGTGTCAGAGGTACAGTGGCCCAAACCCCTTCTTGATGGCCACTACAGCCAAATGCAACATGTTCTGAAAGCGGGCGCCAGGGACTGCAAACCCATGGAAGTGAGCAGGGCCTTTCTCATGGTCCCACTTCTCGGGGGTCTTTTCCATGAGGTCCATTGGGTGCAGAGGAGAGGATGAGAAGTACGGGCATTGGGCTGCTCTTTCCTGCATGATGACTCCAAGCACATAGTGGGACAAAGAATTCTGGGGCTCTTCCAACTTTAAGCTGCTGCTTAGCCATTTGGACTCCAAGATATTGGAATTGTCTAGGCCAGTGCTATCCGATACAGATACAGAGTAAGCCACATCTGTAACTTAACTCTTCAGTAGCCATGATAAAAAAAGATAAAAAGAAACTGATGAAATTCACTTTAATAGTATCTTTTAATTAATGCAGTATGCCCCAAATGCTATCATGTAACATGCAGTCAAGGTAAAACTGACTTATATCACCTGAATCATTTTTTATCAAACTTTTTTGATAGTTGGTGGATATTTTATACTTCACGGACAGCACATCTCAATTTAGACAAGTGTGATTGCAAGCATACAATTGACTCATGGCTACCAAATTGGACAACATAACACCAAGTTACTTTGGCAACCTATAGAGATAAGGAGACAATGGGACCCATTACTTGAAATTTGGATGGTTCTAAAAATAACTGTGGCAGACTGTAGAATGGAAAGGAGTGTAGACTCAGTGTTCAGGTCACTGCTCATAAATCCCTCATCCTGGGACCCTCATGGTTCTCACAGGTCATAGACAAGAACTCAAGGTTGAGAGAACCCCAAAATTTTCTGGGAGAATGCTGCTTTGTTAACAGACTTCCTAGTGGTAAGAGGCTTCTCATTGGGAAGAACTTGCCTGGCAAACTCTACTGACGGTCTGCGGGGTGGGAAATGGCGTGTGGGTCAGTGTGACGACCGTGGCCTCTCACGGGCCCCTGGGCCACCCTAGCATCAGAAATAGATCTCATTGACTCAAGGGATTAGCTGTCCACCCGTTCTGTTCATGCTCAGCAAAAGCACAGCCTGTGAGGTTCAGAGTTACACATACCCCAGGCATTATTTTGTAGCCAGCCTCAAACTTCCTGTCACCGATACCTGGTCATCCTGACACTTCTAATCCAAAAATAAAGGGCAGGCAGGAGGAAGCTGGACAAGTCACAGGAAGTGGCGCCCTGGACAACTATGTTTCAAATCTCTTGCCAGGGGAGCTCATCAGTTAGGAGGACCGATGAGGCCAACTCCCTTAACTCCTCACTTTTGGGACGCAGTGGCCATGAGACCACAGTCGCTCGGTGGATAGGCGAGGGGTGTCTGCTTCATTTACCCCTCCATTTATTAATGGATTCTGTTGGTACCAAGGACCCAACAGAGTGAACTCACCAAGGCAAACACTGATTGGCAGCGCCCAGGAGCACCATGGCAGTGAGCACTGTCATCAACTTTATAGCTGCAAGGTGGCAGACATCTGATAGCAATGAGAAATTCCAGGTCCTTCCGAGGAGGCAAAGACTTTGCAGGCTGTCTTTGCCAACGTCCGACCGTATTTAACCATCGTATGGAAGTAAAGCTGGGTTGGTTTACATACCTACTTCTCCTCTTACAAAGTTGGGGAAGTCAAATAGGGAGCAAGACCTTCTGCAAATGTCAGCCCCCGTTTCTGGGAGGCCTGCGAGTTGGCTACTTGTTTTCTCAAGAATTTCTGTTTCCAACTTTTAAAGAGTGAGCACACAAACCCTGCAAACATGTTACTAAGAGAAGGCTAAGAGTGCACCAGTGAGAGAAAACCAGTTCTGCTTTGTCACTCCCCAACAATGTGATGCTAAGTGTGCACGAGCTAAAAGCCTATGACAAAAATCATGGAGAAGACACAGGCTGTGAAGTCTTCATGATTCGAAAGATGAACAGATTGCATTATTCAAGTCAGCCCAGGGCCACTGAGAGTGATGGGAGAATCAGCTGTCAGGTTGCCTCGGGGGATAACTCACTAGCCCATCTTCCTCTCTCCTCCCTCCCTCCCTCCCTTCATTCGTTCCTTCCTTCCCTTTTTCCTGGCAAGGATGAATTCAAACCTCACTGCCCACCAGCCCTGACTCTTGGGGTCAGGCCTGGCTGTGTAGCAGGGAGGAGGTTGTCTTTCTCTTTTTGGTGTGCTCATCCACTGGGCCAGCCAATACTGAGAGGGAACGAGGCACTGTTTGGAGACAGACAGGGAGGCACTGGGCTGCTTTTGTCACAAGAGCCGAGTGTGTTAAGAAAGGGAGGATTTGGAGCTGTGATTCCGAAGGCAGCCGTGGCTGTAACCCAGGAGTTTCCAGGCAGCTCAGTCCATTGGGCTGCTGGGCTCTGGCCTGGATGGCTCTATCCTCCCCTCCTTCACTTCTTTCACTCCTGGTTTCTGTGGCCATAAAGAGCCATTCTCTGCTCTAGGGGTTGTCTTTACTCCCTCGGGACTTGGTCAGAATCCTCCAAATCAGAATGATGGTAGGGGTGTGCTCAATATGCTAATTCCCAGGCCTGGCCCAGACCCACTGAGTCAGACGGTGAATCAGAATCCGCTGTGGGGGTGGGACTGGCGTTTCTGCTAAGGGGTGCTGGGGTGCCATCACATGCTGCATTTTGAGACCACCTCCTACTGCCGATAGTGTTGTGTTTGGCAGTGTGAGGAAGGAGGGGGCTGTGCAGAGGCCACGTGGTGGGCCGGTCCACAGTCCATCAGCTCTGGAGCTAAGCACGGATGATTCCAGGCGCCACCACTCAGTGCCTTGCACTTATTTCTGTAGCTCTTCAAGCTATGGTTCCTTCTTAACAAAACACAAAAGAATAATAACTCTATCTACCAATAGGGACACTGTGCCTGCTGTGCTGTGGGGACCCGGTAGAAGCTAACAAGTTGTACCCTGGTTACCATAGTAATGAAGGGGAGCCCACGCTCCAGAAGCTCCCCCAAACACCTGCTCTGTCAGTCACGTCTGACTTGCAGGAGCTGAGCGCTGACTCTGGGGCTCCTGCTGGGGAAGTGGAGCTGAGCAGCTGGCCCAGAGGCCTTGGAGGGGTCTGCAGGGGTCATTGGAGGGTGACCCAGGAGAGGAGTAGGGAAAGATGCACCCTGGTGGAGGGTGGGAGATGAGGCATCAACAAGACTAGAGCACAGGAACCACACCCATGTTCCCCACACACCGCCTCCCTCTCTCCCCTTGGGACCTGATCATGGCCCAGCAATGCCCCTCTCTCCTGTTTTAGTCGGAGAAGAAGAGCACTGGATTCGGAGTTCGAAGGTAAAGGCAAATCCCTTAATCTGACTCTCTGTTTCTTCCCTCATAAGACAGAGATAATAACGCCCTTCAGTACAGTCTAAGAATCAAGGAAACACCTGTAAATCTGGTAAAGTTTAAATCCCTCTGTAAATATAAGGTATTGTTATTTTTAATCTTTTCCTCTCCCATGGTCCTTCTTTTAGGCCTCTTATTAAAAAATAAGCCCTTTCCTTAAACCTGCTATCTATAAAAGCCGCCTATTACTTCCCCTTCACCCCCTCTCCTCCTTTAAATCCACGACCACGTGTTCCAAGGTGACACAGGCAGGAAGGCAGGTGCCACACAGTCTGAACCCAGAGGACAATGACAGCTGCTGGGTCTCTGTGGGGACAGTGGAGGGAACACAGTGGGTGCTCAATAGCTTCTAGTGTAGCCCACTCCTCAACCCTAGCTCTAGTTACAGAAATGATTGATCCCGCCGCCCGTCTCCCATCCTGTCCCCGACAGCCTGGGAATCAATGGCCACATCGAGTCCTCTGTGGGCCAGATGCTGAGGTCAGAGAAACCAATGAATCGAGCCACATGAAGGCTGGGGCACAAGAGAGGAACAGAGCCTGGTCCTTGTGCTCCGTGTTCATTTCAGGGGAAGGGTACAAGGCACAGCCAACCAATCCTTGGCTCTTAGGAGGAGCGGGCACACAATGGGTGTGGGGGTACGGGAGGAGCAGGGTGCTCAGCCCTGGGGCTCAGCAGGAGGTCGTGACCTTGGAGAGCGTGGCACGGGGTCAGGGGCAGAGATCAGGAGGGAGGGAATTCTGTGCACTGGGTCAGCAAGGCCAGCTGGGATCACATCTTCACGGAGGCTCAGAACTCCCAGGGGCTGAAGCTCACATGAGTGTCTCCTCCAGACCACGGTTCTTGGCTTGGCTTTAAATGCCTCACATTCCAAAGGGTAAATACATTTGGGCATTTTTCATTCTTTTCTTGTGCTAGTTAAAATGACAGGGAAAACAATTTTCCCCATAATCAACAGATGGGGGAGTACAATGGGTAGGGTCAGGGCCATGTCTAGGCTACATATCAGGAAGCCCAGGTCACGGTCAGGGGCAGGTAGGACAGGTGGACGGGAGGGACTCTGAGGGATACAGGAAGGTCAGGAGCCTTCCTGGCATCTCTCTCCCACGCAGAAAGGGGACCCCGGCCCACTCACCACGCCGATGGAGAAGTAGTTGTTCATGATGCTGTATGGGACCTGGTCTCCATTCTCCACCTCCTCTCTGGGGATGACTTCGAGGTGCCAGCGGTCCAGCATCACCAAGGGGCTCTGCTCGATGTCCTTGAGGATCTTCGTCAAGCTGCCCCCTTCGTAGCCTGTGGAGGATGGCACTGCGTTTGTCACCAGAGCAGCAAGGCTCCATTGCTGCTCACACACAGGTGGCCAGCGGGCACCTGTGGACTGCAGACTCCCCTGTGTGCCTGTGCCTGGAGATGCCCACACTCCCTGAGCCACGGAGCAGGGGAGGCCAGCAGGGAACAGTGAGAAAGAGGCTGAGGTGACTTGGAAGCCTGAGTATCGGGGATGGGGTGGGGTGGGTGTGGGTTGTAGGCAGACCCATGTGGCTCAAGTGAGCCCTGGAGAATTGCTGGGCGGGATGGCTGGGGAGCTGTGCACGGAGACAGCAGGCCTGTTCTAGGACTGTGCTGCTGGGGAGCCGGACTGTATGGTAGGCAGAATTTTAAGATGGGCCCTAGGGTGGGCTCCTGCTGGCTCTGGCCCTGCCCACCGAGCACGAACCCCTCTCTGAACGCTGCCCTCACCCTACCTGGTCCAGCGTTACTCTCTGAATCAGCGGCCATCTGGAGTCCCTTCTGCCTGCTGCACTGACCTGCCCGCATCCTGCACTGAGCTGAATTTCTCCACTCTGCAGCAGGCCCAGATCCACCGCAGCTCGCAAAGTTCTCTTTAGCACCTGCCCCTGGCCCTGGAGGCTGACTACCTCTGTTGCCCCTTAGGGGAAATTTCAAAACAAGGGCCGGTGGCCATGGGAGCCTAGGATAATCTGGATGTCCCTAAGTACCTGGGAGTGTGGCATCTCTATCTCATGCTGAGCCCCAATTCACATGATCAGTAATTTGGGGGGCAGGGGACCTTCAGATCCAAAGCACCTGTCTATGTGAGCCTCTATTGGGGCGAGTACCATGAAGGGGACAAGCGAGGCTTGATCTTTACCCTGAAGTTGAGAACATCCTACACTGGGTGAGGCAGACCCCACCCTGACAGCTTCAGGATAAGAGTAAATGGGGGAGGGGGTGGTGATGGTGCTGTGGTGCAATGGGTTAAAGCTGCAGCCTGAAGCGCCGCATCCCATATGGGCACCGGTTTGAGTCCTGGCTGCTCCATTTCCAATCCAGCTTCCTGCTAATGTGCCTGGGAAAGCAGCAGAATGGCTCAATTCCTTGGACCCCTGCACCCATGTAGGAGACCTGGAAGAAGTTCCTGGATCCTGGCTTTGGATTGGCCCAGTTCCAGCCATTGTAGCCATTTGGGGAGTGAACCAGTGGATAGAAGATCTCTCCCTCGCTGCCCCTGCCTCTCTGTAACTCTTTCAGATAAATAAAATAATTTTTTTTTTTAAAAAGAGTGAAGGTGGGGCAGGCTCCTAGAGAACAGAAAAGGGGGTATTTAAGGCTTAGCATGGAATGGACGGCAGGGTAGGGCAGGGGCCATAGGTTGGGTGCGACAGCAGAGATGATGTTACTCAGCAATGCGGTGCACACAGGTAAAGCTCAGCCTAGCTCTGTACGGCACCCCTAAGCCGGGACGCTTGTCCTCGGGGGAGCACCACTAGCCGGAGACTCACCTCCTCCCCAGCGGAGACACCGGGCAAGGTCATTTCCAGTTCCAAGAGGCAGGACAGCCACTGGTGGGTGCTTCACAAAGTTGGCTTTATCTGCAGCCCATAGAAAGGAACAGAGAACCACTGGCGTGATTCTGTAGGATGTGCACGTTACTTCGACATCTCAGGTCTGTCTGATGCCTGAACCTCCCCAAGGCCCTTTCCCCAGGATTCCCTCCCAGGATGGAAAACACCTACTTCTAACGTCAGCTCTTCCATCGGCAGTGTGTTCACCACTAGCAACAGAGCTAAAGAAGTCAATGTAAATTTCATATTGAGAAAGATCCTGTCTCCTTGAAACGGTCACCTGTTCACTCGAATGTCATCTGAATTCTTCCCTTTGGGTGGCAGCTCAAAAATGCTCATTTGTGTGGTTTTAATCCTGAGGATAACCAGCACTTAATCCCTTTAACCCCTGAGGGTTAAACCTTTAACCCCGACAAGGCATCCTCCTCCTCCTTGGAGATGAAGAGACTGACACTTAGGAAGGGGAAGTTATTCCCAAGCCAGATCTCTGCGGCTCAAGTCCATTCTCCTCCCTTCGGGGGCTAGCAGGTGCATAGGTTAGTAAAACAGCTGGGTCTGAGACATTAGGGAATAGTGGGGCATATGGAAAACTGAGGATGCTCACCTAAAGCCATTCAGATGTAAAAGTTTACAAAATAGCAAGCAGAACCTCCAGGAGCTACCTGGCACCTACACCAGTCGGTCCGTCCCACCAGCTCCACAGATTCCTTCCCTTTTCTCCCTGAGTACTATGAAGGCGCCTCAGGCCAGTCAGTGGGAGCACAATAGGACTGGTTCCCATCAGGCCCCAGATGTGGCGCAGCTGCTGGCGGGGCTGGGGGAGTCGAAAAGAGAAGAACAGGCACGTACTGGACTCCAGGAGGCTACTGCGTGGACCCCCGTGTGCATGGAGCCCCTGGAAGTGAGCGACTTGAGTTGGGGGTTGGAGGAGGTGAGGGAAGGAGCAGGCAAGGCTCAAGCTGGGGCTGCCTGGCAGGGTGGGAGCTCCCCTGGGTTGTCCAACCCATGGCAGAAGTGGTCAAGGTCAAGCACGAGCCAGGGCTCGAATCACCACCAGCAGGGTATAAAGATGGAAACTGGAGCCATGCAGAGGCCTCCCTCCTTGTCCTCAGAACCCACGATTCCAGTCTATGCCTCCTGCCCATGCACCTGCCATTCCCCTGGCCAGGAAGGCCTTGTCCCCTCTTCTGTGGTCCCTGTCTCAGCGTGAGATCCTCCTCATAGACACCTGTAAGGTAGCCCAGGCTTCCCTGGCTCTCTAGCCTGCATCCACCCTCATGCCACCTTCCATGAGTGACTTCCTAGCAGATTTCCAGTCTCCTCTCCTCATCCCCATGGTGATGCCTCGGCGTGATCCCTCCCCACTGGGATGCCTGCGGCAGCCTCCCCCCCCCCCCCCCGGCCTCTGGTCCTAGCCCCCGCAGTGTTCTGCACAATTACCCTGGAGGGCAGTCTCGACTGCAGCTCCTTCCCGGCAGTGCGCTGCGGTCCCTTGTGCTGTGGGGCCCGTTTCCCCTTAGCACATCTTGCTTGCTGGCCTCCTGCTTCCGCACCTCCCACCCAAATGTCAGCCATCCTGGAGTGTTTACAGCTCCTGACACCGGGCAGTGCTCTGCTGCTCAGGTCAGGAGCTGCCCCTGGGGGGGGGGCCCAGCCTGGATAGGGCTCCTCTCCAGCATTTGCCTGGCACTAGGGATGGCCTCATGGAGCTCTTGACTGTCTACTTGTTTCCTGATTGCACCGCAGCCTCTGGGAGGGAACTAAGGCTCCTACACCACTGCACGCCCACACGTGTTTACAGAAGCTTCCCCTGTGTGAGTGGCCGTGTTAGGGGCTGCAGCTCCTGGCTCGGGCGCCCAGAGAGGGCAAGACTGATGCTAACAAGGTCATTGCATGGAGAATGCATCAGGTTGCATTTGTATCAGAAGGGAAAGGAGCATAGCCCTATAGTCAGGCAGCCGAGGCTAGCAGGTATATCAAGGAAGGCTTCTCTGAGGAAGATGACCTGAAGTAGAAGCTGGCCTAGTGGCTGGTGCCGCGGCTCACTAGGCTAATCCTCCGCCTTGCAGGCCTGAGACTGGGGTTAGGTGACTGGAGACCAGAGGGAGGAGGATGAAGGCACAAAACAAAGCCAGAAGGGTGGGAAGCAGCTATACCATCGGGGGTCTTTGGGTCACTTGAAGGGCATTTTAGAATAATGGGAGGCCACTGGTAACCCACTGGAATGCAGGGAAGGGTGCCCTGGCTGTGGGGCAGAAGAGAGCAGAGGGAGAGCCCTGAGTGACTGAATAAGCACCTCACGCAGGTATGCCTCTTTTTGTTTGTTTGTTTTTTGCTACTAACATGAGAAAGCCTATTTCTTCTCTCTCACAGGCCCTGCTTTGAGAGCTGTGCCGCCCGTGTCCACTGAAGATGAGCTTTCTAGAACTTTCCACCCAAGTCCACTTTCTCCCTCAGGATGGAGAGGGAGCTGGGCGAGCAGCCGGATCCCCCAGCAGCAGCCCGGCACCTGCGCCTCCGCCCTCCCTCCTCTCACAAACAGGGAGCGGGGGCGGCTTGGCAGGGCTGTGTCCATGGAAACCCAGAGCCCCATGGGGGTGGGGGAGCAGCCGGCAGCAGGGGGCTAGGCCGCAGCCTCCCACCCCTTCAGTTCCGGCCCCCTCTGGACTCCCTCTTTCAGCCCAGGGTACCAGCAGATCTGGCGGCTGCCACCTTCCGCAGACGGCCCCTGGCCGCCTCTCCAGGCTTCTTCCGTCTCTGCTGTGGCCTAGGCCCCGGGCATCTCGCCCTTGGATTTCTGCCTCTGCCCCTTTCTCTTGATCTGCTCAAAACCAGCTGATGCTTGGGACTCTCCCAGAATGAGAGCCTCACGCCCCACAGTGCCCTGCGCGTCTGTGACCTGGGCCCCATCTCCTCTGCTTTGTCCTGCACTCTGCTCTGGCCACACTAGCCTGCCCACTGCCACCCCAGGGCCTTTGTATCTGCTGTTCCTACTGCCTGAACTGCTTTTCTCTCAGGAACAGAGCATGGTTCACCCACCCTCAGCATCTCCACGCAAAGGTCCCGTTCTCCGTGAACCCTCCCGCCCTGCAACCCCACTGCACACCGGTGCTCGCCGTGCCCGTTCCCTGCTGCCTGTCCCTCGCTCCCTGACACGCTCGGCCTCACTTCGCCCTTTGCTCTGTGCTTCTTTTCTCTCTCGAGATGGGAAGCTCTGTGGGCACGGGACTTTGTTCATGCTGCACCCCCAGCACCCGAGGAGGAGAGGTGCACAGGAAAGGTGGAGGCAGCCGGGCCGCCTCCTCTGCCCACCCCACCCCTGCCCAGCTCCTCCCTTGGCAGCATCCCTGCCTGTGCTCAGCGGTGCAGTGTGCATAGCGGCCCTCAGGGGTACGAGCTGCAGTGTGGCCCCAGTCCAGCATTTTGCAGGATCTCTCTCACCACCGGCAGGAGAGTGACGTGGCCCAGGACCTCAGCCTTGGGCAGAGCTGGGCAGAGACTCAGACCTCCTCTGGTTCTCCAGCTTGGGCCTGCCCACTGCCCTTCTGACTGTAGTGTAGAGATGCGGGCCAGTGTGGCCTTTCCTTGCTGGCTCTGATCTGCGCTTTGCAGACAGCCCCTCCAGACACAGGCCCCAGGTGTTCATCTGGGGCACCTTGCCCTGAGCTGTGCGTGCAGCCCTGACCCCCCACCCCACCAAAGTTGTCCCGGCCTGCCATGCCGGGACCTCAGCCATGATGGCTGTCTTTAAGGCAAGGCCTGAAATGAAGAAATTATCTCCCTATCTGGGGGAATCCTTCCAGCTGTCTCCCCCGTCCCTCCCTTCATTTCTCCCTCCCTTCCTTCCTCCTTTCCTCTCTTTTCCACCCAAAACATATATTTCATCAAGCATTGGCCAAAGACAATGACGACCAAGACACGGCCCCATTTCTCTTGTGTGTATTTCCCTCTGCTGACCTTAAACCAGCACTAGGGCTCTGCCCGTCCCTTCTTACCAATGCAATCCAGGATCCAGCCAACCGTGCCGTCGCCTCCGCAGGCCAACACCCGGAAGTCGGGGGTATCTCGGAAAAAGTTCAATCTGGGAAAGAGAAAACACACCAAAATGGTCTTGTTGACCAGGCTGTGGCTGCCACTTGATACGGGCTGGGTCACAGTCTCCCCTGTTCTCTGGGATTGTGTTAAGACCTGGACAGCTTTCGGGGTTGAAAGGGTCACTTCCGTTTCTGAAAGCAGAGCTTGCCTGGCAGTGCCACAGAGCACGGAGGAAGTTCTAGGGCGCTCTGCTTGCACGAGAAGGCCCCGACTCAGTGGTCAGCAAAAGCCAATGTGGGTTTCTAGATACTCTCCATGACTTTCTCAGAGGGAACCACAGTTTGTGCATGCCCACGTTCTGGCTCCTCTCTGTTCTCCTGCCTGCTGTCCTCACCACCTCCCTACTACGTGAGAGGCATGGGGTTGGCTGGAGCTTCATTTCCTGTCCCATGGGCCCAGAGTTAAGTGGAGTGAGCACCTTCTCTCACTGTGAGGTTAACCCTCAGGAGCAGGGCTTGTTTTTGTCTGTTTTCTAAAAAAGATGTATTTATTTTATGTGAAAGGCAGAGTTACAGACAGAGAGGGAGAGAAGAAGAGGTCTACCATCTGCTGGTTCACTCCCCAGATGGCTGCAACAGCCAAGGCTGGACCAGGCTGAAGGAGGGAGCCAGGAGCTTCATCCGGGCCTCCCACATGGGTGCAGGGGCCCTAACACTAGGGTCATCTTCTGCTGCTTTCCCAGGCTCATTAGCAGGAAGCTGGGTCAGAAGTGGAGCAGCCAGGACTCAAATGGGGACCCATATGGGATGCTGGCACTGCAGGCAGCAGCTTTACCTGCTATGGCACAGCGCTGGCCCTGAGAGCGGGGTTCTTAGCCTGGGTCCCCCACCCTTCAAGGGATCTGTGGACAGAATTCAGAGGGGAAAGTACTACATCTTTATCTTTTTTAAGCTCTATCTGAAATTTAGCATTTCCTTCAATTGTGAAGGTAGTCACCCAAGGAGAGGTAGGAACAACGCTTGTGACGCTGTCAGCAGTGGGAGTCCAGGTCATGTACTACTTCTTAGGACTGGCAGAAATAGGATCGCACATGCTGATGGCTGATCTGAGCTTACCGGAGTCACGGCACACACTCAACGTCAAGGATTTGTTTTTTAAGCTCGGGATAACTGTTTTCCAAAGAGTTCATTTCCCTGGGAATCCTACATGGCTTCATTGTAGGCAGTAAGCAAGCCCCTCCCGAGAAGGGGTCCACAGACTTTATCAGATGGCCTGATAAAGTTCTTGGCACAAACAGATGAAGAACCTCTGCTTTGGAACAAACATGTCCCCTGGGCAACTTGGGCAGGCTTGGGCATGCTGAAGGCCAGCACTTCCTCTCTGCCCCACCCGGTGCTCCGGGAAGACCCCTGGGCCTTCTGAGTCCCTGGTGATGGTCTCCCTGCACCTCCTCTGGCTGAACTCTGCACTGGGGGTCCCCTCAGCCAGACTGACACGAATGGCAGACCAGGAAGGGGCTGTCCAGGCTAAAAACCATCAAGGCTAGATGGGGCTAAGCTGGAGGATGGGGTTTGAGAATTGAAATGCGCTAAGCCAGAGGGGCTGGTGAGGGCATTTGTGGGCCATTGTTCAAGCAGGCTGAGATCCATGGTGGTCACTGGCAATCTGATGATGCTGCCTACAACCTTAGACTCTGGGTAAGCTCAGTTTGAGTGGTTTTACAGGTAAACCATGGCAGGTGCACTTTTTTTCTTTTAAACAAGTCTGGTATAGTCACTGCCATAAACGGTCACTTGGTGTCAGCCATTTTCTTCCTACAGCCCCTCCTCCTGCCGGGCTTATGGGTCTGGCTGAGCCCAGTAGAAAACTGGGGAAGGGGGGCCCATGCTGTGGCATAGCAGGTAAAGCTACCACTTGCAGTGCAGTCATCCCATATGGACGCCGGTTCAAGTCCCGGCTGTTCCACTTCCTATCCAGCTTTCTGCTATGGCCTGGGAAAGCAGTAGAAGATGGCCCAAGTCCTTGGGCCCCTGCACCCATGTGGGAGACCTGGAAGAAGCTCCTGGCTCCTGGCTTCGGATCAGCAGCTCCGGTCACTGTGGCCATCCAGGAAGTGAACCAGCAGATGGAAGACCTCTCTCTCTATCTCTCTATGCCTCTGCCTCTGCCTCTCTGTAACTCTGCCTTTCAAATAAATAAATAAATGCTAAAAAAAAAAAAAAAAATCTGTGGTCGGCGCCGCGGCTCACTAGGTTAATCCTCCGCCTTGCGGCGCCGGCACACTGGGTTCTAGTCCCAGTTGGGGTGCCGGTCTGTCCCGGTTGCCCCTCTTCCAGGCCAGCTCTCTGCTGTGGCCAGGGAGTGCAGTGGAGGATGGCCCAAGTACTTGGGCCCTGCACCCCATGGGAGACCAGGAGAAGCACCTGGCTCCTGGGTTCGGATCAGCGCGTATGCGCCGGTCGCAGTGGCCATTGGAGGGTGAACCAACAGCAAAGGAAGACCTTTCTCTCTGTCTCTCTCTCTCATTGTCCACTCTGCCTGTCAAAAAAAATCTGGGAGAGGAGACTGGGCCAAGAGGCCCAGGGTTGGGAAAGGCCAGGGCTGTGGGAACAGAGCCCTGGCTCAGAGAGTGGCCAGCAGGTGGCGCCAGTGCACAGGCCAAGAGCGCCGGAGGTGAAGGGGACCAGTCAACCAACCTGACCTCCGCAAAGGGGCTGCTTCCTCTCCTCTCCCTCCTTCCAACCCTCAGCCTAGGAGCAGGGAAACAGCAAATAGGCAGTGGCAGGAGAAGGGCCTCAAATCGGATGACCCAGAAAAAAAAATAGATGGTTTTTTCTTAATCGTAAAATGCACCCCTCGTCCCCCAGCAGAGCACACGGCAGGGCTCCAGGTCCCTCACCGAGGGCACCCGGAGCCTGAGCTAAGGCAGCCCTGACGATAAGTGGGTGTAACTCCCCAGTCCCCATGGGAGCTACGCTTTCCCCTCTTACACAAGTGGCTCTGGGCCACTTCTCAGGGTGCGCCCAAGGGTGGTCCCGAGGGCTCCAGCTGGAGTGAGGGTGGGATGTGAGAGACGGGAGAGCAAGGGAGCGAAGGGGCCGGACCCGCAAGGGGGCCTCCAAAGTCGATGAAGGGCTAACGATGGTGTCCATACCCTGGGGTGGGCCCCCCGCTGTCCAGGTTGAAGACTTGCTTGGGGTTGAGCAGATAGTGGAATTTCCGGAGAATTCTGTGGGGAAAAGGAAAGGGAGAGAGAGATGGAGAAGAAACTGTCATTGTGAGCCGTCACATCAGGGCAAACACGTCTGGACCCGATCGGCCATGCGGAAGCTGAGAGGGGAGCCCTGCACCCAGATCCCTGCAGCCTAGCCACGTGGGCACAGCGTGCATCCTCAGCTCCTGGCTCAGGGCCACCCCACCGCCCAGCCCCTGGAGCTGGCCCTACCCCTTGCAAGAGGACAAGGCAGGAGACCCAGCGATCAGAACTTCCAGTCTAAAGCTTTGCCTCACGGAGGCTTCTCCAGGTGTTCTGTTTGTGTGCTGTAAGAGGAGAGGCCCCTGCCGTCCTGGGACCAGCAGTTCCTTTTCAGCTTGGGGCGCCTGCATCCCAAGTCACAGGGCCTGGTTTGAGTGCCGGCTCAGCTCCCAACTCCAGCTTTGGCTAATGAGCACCCTGGGAGGCAGGTGGTGGTGGTCCAGGTACTTAGGTTCCTGCCACCATGTGGGAGACTGGACTTAATTCCAGATTCCTGCTTCAGCTTGGCTTGGCCCTGGCCAAGAACCACTGGATGGAATCTCTCTCTCTCTCTCCCCTCCCCCCTTTCAAATAAATAATAAACATATTTTATTTAAACAGGAGATGCAGGAGCTGAGGTTGGGGCAAGGGAGGGTTAATAGTCAGAGACCTTATTCAGGCTTGGTTTCAAGGCTCCAGCTGGAGACTGATCATATTAGTTGGAGAGGGGTTCCTGTCCTTGGACTGGGCTGGGGGTCCCCATAGTTCTTGCTTTACTTCTACTGTTGTTTTTTTAACCTGGCTTTCAAACTGCTGTGCCATCTGCTTGGGACCCCAGAACTGAACAGGCCTGAGAGACAGAAGCTGCTCCTGCTGGCCTCCCTCTCTCCCCCATCTCTGCTCGGCAGTTTCCAGCCGGGTGTTTCCTTCAGCAAGGGGCTGGGGGGCCTGAGAGCCTAATCAGGGGAGTCCTGCCACAGCTCTTTAATGACGAAACCCCTTGGGAGGGCTGGGCATTTGGTGCAGTGGTTAAGACGTCACTTGAGATGCCAGCATCCTGTATCCGAGTCCCTGGGCCTGATTCCCAGCTCTGGCTCCTGACTCCAGCTTCCTGCTAATGCCCCCTCCCCCCAAGAGGCAGCAGGTGATAGCGCAAATGATTGCATTTCCTGCTACCCACATGGGTGACCTGGATTGAGTCTGGGCTCCTGGCTTCCGCCTGGCCCTTGCAGGCATTTGGGGAGTGACCTGGTGAATGGGAGCTTTCTCTCTCTGTTTCTCAGATTCAGAGAAAGGTCTAGTGTGGGAAGGAACAGGGACCTCAGAACTTGGTCGGATCTCAGGCATCTCATGTGATAGGCCTTGCTGTCTATTCTAGTCCTCGAAATAAGCACACCAGAGGGGAAGTTACAACCTCTGTGCTGTAGAGGAGGAAACTGGAGCACAGGGGTATCAAACCACACAGGTCAGGTCACAAAGTGGAAGGAGGTGGTTCTAGGTCTGAGCCATTCTACTGAGATGGAGGCGGGGAGAGGGCCCTGGTCAAGCTGCCTTGGCCTCCCCGCTTGGACAAAGAGGAGCACGTACCTTTCTCCTTGTCTCCCTCCACTCTTGGGGTTCACCAAGACCAGCAGGGGGTGGGTTCCTGGAGTGGGGATGATCTTATACTTAAAGGATAAAAGAAAAAGAAATTAGCTCTGCTTTGTCCAGCGGGGAGGGGTGGGATGACAGCTGATGTGAAGGCAGCTGCGGAGAAGTGGGGAGGCGAGGAGGTAGGGTGGTGGAGATGGAGATAGGTGTGGGGGGAGAGCAGGCCCAGGCATGGAGGAGAGGCAATCGGGGAGGTGGGTCCTCGTCCACTGGCTGAGTTTTCCGAGGGCCTAAGCCTCTAAGTGTCTCCAGCTGGCATGGCCTTGATGTGGTGTGGATGGGGATGAGGGTTTGAGGTTGGATGGGAGATGGGGCAATGGCACTGTAGCTTCAAGTCATCCAACAATGGTGTGGCACTATGCCCACAGCACAAGATTAAAGTTTGTGAGGGACACACTGAGTAGGCGTGGCTGTCTGGTCAAACATGTACAGAAAGCAGCGCTCACGGACTGAGCCCTCAGCTCCGCCCCGCGCCTTCCCAGTCTGCAGCCCCCAGCCCAGTTTTCCTCCTGAGCCCTGGCTCCACATTTCCTACTGTCCGGGGGTATGTGTGTGTGTGTGTGGGGCGGTGCCTTTGCTGGATGTCCCACCAGCCACAAACAGAACGAGCCCCAAGCCTGACCCATCTTCTCTCCCCATAAGACCGCTCGCTCCTCTCTCCTGGTTCCCTGTCTAAGATGCTACTGCTCACCACGGCACGCCGAAGAAGACCCTGACCTGCCGCCTCTTCTCTGGAGTGTCCCTTCATCTGCAGCCATCACAGTGTCCAACTGCTCAGGCCTTTCCCACGTGGGGAAAGTCTTGCGTGCTGCCCCAAAGGCAGGGCAGCATGCCAACCACGCCACTCCTGCTCAAACACCCTTACTGATGACTGCGCCCTGAGGATGAAATCCAAGTCCCTTAAACCGCAGTCGCTCTTGCCTCCTTGGGGCTCCTGATCCGCACCCTCGGCTGCAGTCCTGGCCCAGCCCTGGCGTCTCCCCGCTGGCGAGCGCTGTCTCGCAGCAGTGCCTGCCCACACTGGGTTCTGCTCCTGCTCCAGAGGTACCAAATGCACACTTTCCTCTCTGCCACCTCTGAAAACACTTCATCTTCTCATGGCCCAACTCAAGAGCCACCTCCTCGGCGAATTCTGCTGCTAAAGTGCGTGCCCTTGCAAGTGCGAGAGCTTCTGGAGGTTCCTTGTTGTTTAAGTGCATTTGTGGTTTACTTTCTAAGGCTCAAGACATCAACAGGGATTTTAAATGCATCCGACCCAGGGTGCAGGATTTGAAGAGAGAGCTGTATACAGCTCAAGGCCCAAGCAAGGGCCCGTGGTACTCGGAAGAGTGCCCGTGGCTCTGTGGCAGAGATGCAGTGTTGCTCCACACTCGACATCTCTCAGGCCTGCTTTTTCAGACCCCGTAAGGAACAACCAGCAAACACAGCGCTCGCTATGTGGCTTGAAAAGGCTGGCAGCGTTCTTGGTGGTTCTTATGAATTCTCTCATCTGCCCCCTGGGGAACTGTGAGGCCTCTAGAAACTGTCTGAGCCTGGGAAGTGATCTGTTACCTCCAGGCGGGGATATTCAAAGTATTTAACAGCGCAGGCACTGCCCAGCTGGAACAGATGCAAGGTGACCAGATGGATGCCTGCTGCAAACACCTAGAACCCGCATCGCCGTGTGTGTGTGTGTGCACGTGTGTGTGCATGTGTATGTGTGCGTGTGTGTGTTCCACCTGCCTTGCTGTCCTAGGTGTCCAGAACTTTCTCACATATGAAGCTTAATTTTCTAAACACACAGATCTGCATGTTCTCATGGAACCACAGTGCCTGTGGGAGTTGAGCTGAGCAGTGTAGGGATTCCTGGATTTATTTTCCAACAAGGAAACCCAGAGCTGCAGGTAAAGGGGAGGGGTCCTTGCTTACTCTTCCTTTGCTAGCACCCTTTGTATCTACCTCCCGACCCTGCACCCCAAGGCCTCTGCCTTGCATTCCTGGGAACTTTGTGGAAGGCACAGAGCAAAGATGTTCATTGGTGAACCCCAATTTAAAAAAAAAAGCCGAGTTCTTCAATATATATTTAAAGGGTGAGAAGAACAGTCCACCCACTGTCTGTTTTCAGGCCACACTTTGGTTATCACTGAGGAGGTTTGCATATTGAAGTTCTATGGAACTTGTTTCTACAAAGGTGATAAAGCCAATTAGACCAGCAATGGGACCAGCCAACCTCCCTTCTCACCACTGGCGTACAGTGTGGCAGTCAAAGGTAACTCCAGAGGCCGGAAATAAAGTGTCCTCCTGTGTGACAGAAGTGGTCAGGTGAGAAGGCAAACATTGAGACACATTTCTTGAGAACCCAGAGCCCGTCCTTCCCGCCACAGCCTTGGGCCAACTCAGAACGAGCAAGGGACCCAGCGCTTGCAAGGTACCTGGGTTACAAGTTCACCCTTGGCGGGCACACTGCTGTCACACTTGCCGGCTTGCCTGTCCTGTGAGGAGACAGCAAAGACAAAAGGTTTTGGTAAAAAGTAAAAAAAAAAAAAAAAAAAAAGAAAGAAAGCGATCAGAAGAAAATCATCTTAGAACTTGGCTCCTCTTCTCTTCTAAGCATGTGATATTAAGAAACTTGTATTTTTTTTGAAAGATTTTATTTATTCGAAAGGCAAGGTGACAAAGGGAGGGAGAGATGGGTTGGAGAAAGAGACAGAGAGATAGTTCTTCCATCCACTGGCTCACTCCCCAAATGGCTGGAACAGCCAGACTTGGGTCAGGCTGAAGCCAGGATCCAGGAACTCCATTCAGGTCTTCCACATAGGTGACAGGGACCCATGTACTTGGGTTGCTTTCCCAGGCACATTAGTAGGGAGCTAGAGAGGAAGCAGTGCATCTGGGATTCCAATCAAGGCTCTGCTACGGAATGCTGGCATTGCAGGTGGTGGCTTAGCCCACTCAGCTACAATGCCGGCCCCATGTTTGTTTTCTCAATGCTTACTGTTTATTTTATTGAGGCTTATCTCATACGTAGGAAAATGCTCAAACCCAAATCGTACAATTTGATGAAGTTTGCATGTGGATATGCTCTGGTAACTACTGCCTCTTGAAGCATAACCTTGGTGTGACTCCTCATTATATTGGTTCTGCCTGGATTTTGAGTTTTGTAAAAATGGATTCATAGGGCACATCTGACTTTGAGTCTAGCTTCCTTTGATCAATTTTTTGTCTTTGACAGTTCTGCATTTTTTCATCTAAACAGTTTTATTTTTCCTGGTAATGCAATATTCCATTATAAAAACACCATGTGCCTATATGATGAACCTCCAGGAAGGCCATAAAACATGCACATTATGAAATGACTAGGCAGAGATTATATATTTTTTTGCCCTAAAACATCTTTTAGTTCTTTTTTTCCATGGATTTTTTGAAGTCCTCTTGTATGTCTCAATTTATTTGTCTGTTCCACTCTTTGTGGCCTTTTAGCTTGTTTATAGTATTTGAATGTCATGAAAACGTTGCTGGGGTGGGGATTTGGCCAAAAGGTTAAGGCATCATTTGGGATGCCTGCATCCCATATCAGAGCGCCTGGGTTTGAATCCTGACAGTGCTCCTAATTTGAGTTTCTTGCTAATGCAGACCTTGGGAGGCAGCAGTGATGGGGTTCAGGTAGATGGGCCTCTGATAGCCATATGGGAGACATGGATTGAGTTCCTGGATCCTGGCTGCTCTAATGTGTCGTGGGCATTTGGGGAGTGATGGGATCTGTCTCTCAAAAAATATATAAATGAATAAATAAAAAAGCCACTATAAGCACTCTTGTCAGGGCCTCCCGGTGGAATAAATGCTCAGACTTTTGAGGTAGATCCACAGAAGGGAACTGCTGGCTGTGGGTTCTCTATTTTTAACCCAGCAGCTACAGCCAAATGGTTTTCCAAAGGGACGCTTTTCCCAGGTTTTGAATGAGAAGGAATGAGATAGCCAGGTCAAGGGTGAGGCTGTGAGGACTCAGAGGGGGTTGGCAGCATTTTAAGATGGGAAGAGGAGAAAGTTAAAGGCAGGGCTAAGGGAGTGAAATGTTGCTGCATTCATTTCCAGCTGGGGCTGAGACGCCCGCGGGGGACCTCTGCAGGCTGAGGGAGATCCGTGTTCCGACACAGGAGACTGGCGGATGTGGGGAGGCCTTGCCACGTGCAGGCAATGGCTGCGTTCCTCGGGTCATGGCTCTGCCTGCACTGCGAGCTGAGGACCAACGTGCTTGCCTGGCTGGGCCATTCCGGGGCGTCTGAGGTGGCCAGCAGCCGGGGCCCGGGAAGCCCTCTGAGGGCTGTATGCTCCGGCCGGACAGGAGCACTTACCCGCGTGACGGGGCATATGGAGGTGGGCAGCAAAATGTGGTCTCGGAGTTCCCCGCCGTCACACACCGTGGATAACTCACACTTGCGGTGAAACTGGGGGTGGAAACAGGAAGACGATAGTGAGCGGAAGTGACGGAGGCGACGTCAGGTACGGGGTTCGGCGCTTTGCCGGGGAGGCGCTTGCCCAAACCCTGACAGACGCTGGCTTTGGCCGGCTTGCTGTTCGTGTGTGTGTGTGGGGTGCCACATCTGCAGTGCACGCGGGACAGAGACCAGGAGCTGCCCATGCCTGCTGGCGCAAGACCATCCCGGGCAGGCCTCTGGCCCCTCAGCTTGGCACCACCCCCGGGGCGGGTGGGATTCCAGAGGTCCCGCTGGGTATTTGCTCCCCGAGGCTTTGAACAAGCTCACGGGAGGCGGGCAGTGCACCCTGTCACTCAACCTTGGCATTTTGAGAGTTCTGCAGTCTGGTTTGGAGAAACTTCTCTGATACTACTACTTGGGTGTGGACAAGACCTGACACCGACTTTGCATTGGCGGGCAGCTCTGGCGCCGCAGGTGGGACTGCTATAAGAAATGTGCCTTGGAGACAGGAGCCTTGAGGAGCAGGTGTCCTGGCATCCAATTCCTCTCCCCCTGAAGTGCCGCTAGATCTGAGGACACCCAGGTGGCGGAAGGTCACGGTCTGGCCTGCAGTTCCCAGCTGCCTGGACAGGTGGTGCGTGGACTGGCTGGTGTCTTCTTAAGCAGTCCCCACTCTCTGGTCCTAGGGTTCCCTCCTCTCCAGGCAGATTGGGGGTTCCCTCAGCACTGCTCGACAGAGGGCACTGGATGGGGGCCCTCAGCCCCCTGGCCCTGCTCATCCTCTGGTAGGATGTTCACTGCTTCTGGGTCACAGTTTGACCAAAAAAAAAAAAAAAAAAAAAAAAAAAACAACCAACAAAAAACAAAGAACCACACTGACAAGAAGCAGGGTGCCCTGGGCGCCAACCCACCGTCATCCGGCACCACACGCAGTGCCGCGCGGTGACACTCTGGTAGCACTTGATACTTTTGTGGCACCGGTCACACTTGACGGAGGAGTTCCCTTCCACCCACGCGTGCTGCATCACCTGCGGGAGGGAAGGGGAAGGTGCCAGGGAGGGCAGCAGAACCACGGCCCCGGCCCTGGGCTGGAGGAGAGGCGTCTGGCAGGAGGGCCGCGGGCGGGGAGGCTCGAGGGACTATTTTCTGCTCAATAGGTGCTTATTGGATGCGGAGTGGCTTCGCCCAGTGGCACGATGTGGTGGGGGGAGGGGGTCCTCCCTGCCTGGCCACCAAGGGAGATGAAAAAGCCTCTTTGCCCGCATCGTGAACATTCCATTCACCTTGGCTGAGGTCTCGACCGGTCGTCTGCCTGTCTGCCTCGTAGAACTCTTCGCAGTGCTGTGTTTGTGCGTGCCCTCCCATGGATGGCAGTGTGGTGTAAAGGAACGGAGGAAGGGTTGGGTCGTGGACCAGTGTGGCCCGAGTCACCGATCCTTCGCTTCACAGCGAGTGGACCTTTGGCCAGCTCCCGGATCTCTCTGAGTCCTCTTGTGTCGAAACTGGCACCATGAGCCTCACCTCTGAGGCTGGCGGGAGGATGTACTGAGCCAGCATAGGAGGGCGCCCCTGACACAGTCCTGGCTCTCTGTCGGTGCCCATTGCTGGGAAACTTCCTTCCCCTCCTCCACCTTCGGTGCTCAGAACCACGTGTGGGGCTTCCAGAAGCCCTGCTGCCTGGCCCACACTCCAACTAAATCAGTCTCTGGGACAGGGCCTGCCATGAGTGTGTTTCCAAGCGCTCCAGGAGGTGGTAAGGCGCAGCCTAGGTTATGGAGCCTTCTAGAAGGAAATTAAAGAAGCCCAAAGAAATCCGCGAGGGTGCTCCAATGCCTGTCACACCTGTTTCCTAGACAGTCGCCTGCATCTTTCCCTGGCTTGGTAATGCTCCCAGGGCAGGCTAGGGACTTGGGATGTGGGTGTATGTATGCAGCCACAGTGACAGCAATTGACCCAGAACATCACTGTCTGGGAGCCTGAGCTGTTCTCTGTCCCCCAGAACCTATGGGACTTCCCAAAAATGTCCACCAAGGTACCCGGAAGAGCAGAAGGAAGTGGCTGTAGATTCCGGGGAGTGGGATGGGGCACATCCTCCACACCACTGAAGATGCACACAATATTTGCATGGTATTATCCCTGTTTGTATGAAATAAGTGCTTTAAATTGCTTAGCAACTGAGTTGCGTAATGCCTCCCTCAGAATGTTTTTGCTAAAATTATTGCTCCAGAAGACATGTCACATTGGTTTGTAGCTTCTCACCTTCTGCCATGAACTTCTGAGCTGGCTAAAGGGCTCAGTTGGTCAATCAATCTATCTTCTACATGGTCACAGTGAATTTCCTCTGAGCGCTATTATCTCCATTTTCGCAAAGGACAAAGAACTGAGTCAGCTCCAGAGAGGTTAAGTGGCAGGCCCAACTCTGGTGAGTGGTCAGGCAGGGACTCATGGCCAGGTCTACTGGCTCCAAGTCCAGGGTTGTCTCCCCAACACCACACTGCCTTCTCCATCCTCCCTGGGCTCCTGGGTTGCCCCTGAAGACTCCGAAGGCTGTGAACATAAACTGCGGGCCCCTCAGTGGCCTCACTGTCTTCTGTGTGGCAGGTGGCCAGGGCACAGGTCTACAGCCTGAGCCCAGGAGGCACAGCAGGGTCCTGTGGACGGCATGGACATGGAAGAGAGTGTGGATGGGGGTGGGGCAGAAGGAGGAGTGGCCATGCGGTGTCCATGGGGCATGCACACAAGTTCTCCAAGGCACCCTTCTCTCAGGAGGCCTTTTGTGGGGAGGCTGGGTGCCAGGCCCACCCACCAACCATGCCCCTGACTCAGACTCCTCAAGAAATCTCTCGCAGTTCCTCCCCTGCTAATTTTAAGGAAGTCTGTCCCCAGACCCAGGCAGTGGCACCACCCTAGGGCCAAGTTAGAAGCATAGGAGCCATTTCTGACCTCTCCTCCTCCCATCCTCTGAGTCCAGCTGGAGGTGCCTCCAAATCACCTCTCAAACTCCTTTCATCTCTACTTTAGTATCGCAGTCAAAATACTGAATGACTGGCACAGCCCAGGGGACTCTGCACACACAGCCGTGACCATGGTATGACAGGTGAGTGCAGACCCCACCCAGGTCAGGCCCGCGGTGAAATATCCACCTTCAGCTTCCCCTGTAGGAAGGGCTCCCCTCACCCCTCATCTCTCCCACCCCTCTCTCCAGGCAGCTAACTTAATCAGTCCACTCAGTTGTCTCTTCAGGTACTTGGAGGGCTTCAGTAGCCCCAGGCTGCACAGGAAGCGCCTTTCTGATTTCTGAGCTGGCCTCACAAGGCCTTCTCCAAGCTGGGTCTCACCACTTTCTGAGCACAACCTCCTGCAACCTCCCCTTAAACAGCCTGTGCCTCTGCTACACTAAACCAAGTCTGGGTTCTGGAGCAAGGTGGTTCTCCACGCCTTTACACCTGAGGCTGCTCTGCCCGGAGGGCCTTGTCTTCCTCCACAATGCCCCTGAAGCTGTCCTGATTTGGATTCCAGACACAACTCAAGCGTCACCTCCTTTCTGAACCTTGCCCTGGTGTTTCCCTGGTGCCTCCACTATATTTTGCTGGGTGGCCCTGTTATAGCACACCTCTCAGAGCTTTGCACTTTCCTTAAATGTCTGTGTCTACCTCTACACTAAGCATTCTCCAGTGGGCTGGGGGCCATCTCGTACAACCTCTGAACCCCCAAGCACAGTGCTGGGATGTGGTGGGCACCAGGGAGAGGCTGGCTGGCTTGCTGGCTGGCTGGATGGCATGCTGTAAGAATCGTCCTCAAGGCAGAGAAGTGACTAGAGAAGCTCCCAAAGCCCCTTGCTGCCCGGGCATCCGTGCTGATGGACATGTTGCCGGGGACGCGGCATGCAGTAGGACAAGGCAGGCGGTGTCACCAACCTCGCCTCCCTTTTTGGTTTTTGAGTACGTTTTGACACACGCAGGAATGTTTTTGGAGACACAGCGTTCGTGGACAGTGTATTTACAGTCTGAAAAGAAACACAGTGAGGAAGGTGCTGGTGAGTGACCCACTCGCGGCCCCGCTCCCACCCCAGCCAAGGTCTGAGCCTGGGGGTGGGGGTGGCGGTGTAGATGCAGAAGAAATCTCCAGTTGAGAAGGGAGTCCATGTCGTCTCCCAGTTCTGCTCCTGCACACCTCATCCCATTGCTCTCCTCTAGGAGCAGTGACGGTGGCAGGAAAGCCCCAGAAAGTCACTTTCCACGCCAGGGGCCTGCGGGCATCCTCCTGCTTGCCACGCCAATGCCAGTGTGGTCTGTCGGGGATGGCGGGGAGTGGGTCGAAAGGCCAGGGTCTCTGGGATTGGGTGCTTGCTGCACTCTCCCTCTCCCCTTTTTCTCCTCCCTGTCATTTGTGGTTGGTTTCACCTTTCCCCTCTGACTTTGTGAGATAGACTACAAAGTGCAATCCATGTATGGTGCTACTTCCCATTGCATTGGCAGAATATACAATATGTTGCTTCTTATTTAAAACTATAACATGTTCCTCTGGACATACCCAAAGTAAACACCGATTAGAAAATCCAAGTGAAATTAGTAGGAGGTGCTTTCTTGGGATGTGTGAATTTTAACACTTTTTTCCCTAGGGAGTTGGTGATCCATTACAGGACTCCAGCAGCAGAACGAGACTTATTCACTTGACAAAACAGCTCCTAGAGGCTTTTCTTTATTGCCTGCTGTTGGAACAATGTGGGTCCCTCAAGCCAGAAGCTAGATCCCTAGACTGTCCTTGAAATAGCTCCACCACAGACATAGCGACGCGGCACCTGGGGACAAGGGTCCCTGGGAGAAGCCGACTCACAGATGCAGCAGAGGCCTTGCTTCCGAACGCCCACGAGCATCATGTGGCAGAAGTTGCAGTAGGTCGGCTTCTTGAAATGCTTCATGGTCCAGGCATGCCTGCCGTCCCCTTTGGAGCCCTGCGGGGTGACAGGAGGAGAGAGCCTGAGCTGGTAGACCCCAGTGGAGGGAGCCAGGGGCTGCCTTGGGCATGGTCTCTTGTGTTCTGAATACCACTCTCTTCTCAGATTTGGAGGGCAAATACTGTTCTAAATACAAATCAAAACAGAGTTCTTTGTGTATGCTTTCTAAAATTAGCAAATATTAAAACCGAGGGACACCTGTATGTGAGTATGTGTTGAAAGGTATGGGGCATTAAATGACCCCTCTCTTATCTTGCTGGCCAAAGTGTAAGTCAAAACAATAATTTGGTTATCTATCGATATACCTAGCTATCATCTATATCATCATCTATCATCTAGCTAATTTAATCTATATTTTTAAAAGATTTATTTATTTATTTGAAAGGCAGAGTTGCAGAGAGAGATGGAGAGATAGAGAGAGAAAAATAGATCTTTCATTTGCTGGTTTACTCCTCAAATGGTCCCAATGGCCAGGGCTGGGTCAGACTGAAACCAGTAGCCTGGAACTCCATTCAAGTCACCCACATGGGTGCCAGAGGCCCAAGCACTTGGGCCATCTTCCTCTGCTTTCCCAGATGTATTAGAAGAGAGCTGGATCAGAAGTGGAGCAGCCAGTACTTGAACGGGCACTCATCACAGGCAGTGGCCTGACCTGCTGTGTCACAACACTGGCTCCTATCATCTATCTATCTATCTATCTATCTATCTATCTATCTCATGTATCCTATCTGTCTCCATCACCTATCTGCCACCTGTCTAACTGACCATCTCTGTGTATAATCTATCATCTATATCTGTCTATATCTAGCTCATCTGTCATAACTATCTATTTACCTATCTACCTAATATATTTAAGACTCTTTTAAATGTTTGCAGCCTTTGACATACCAATTTCCCTTCTTGGACTCCTTCCTAAAAAATAATTTTTAAAAAACATAGGAGCATTTTTGTGTTTTGTGAGATGTTTAATCCAGCATTATTTAAAATCATGATAAATTGGAACTATCCCAAAGGTCTTCAGATCACCAAAAGGTTAATTGTGGGGCCTCCATATGACTTAATTTTAAGTGGCAATCACAAAGACATTTATTTGAATATCTAACAGCATGAGAAGGTGCTCATGATACAATGGTTGGTGAAAAAAGGCAGAATACAGACTTGATAAATTATGATCTCAGTTTTATATGATAAGATCTTTGGTGAGAAGAAACTTCATGAACCTGCTAACAGAGGTTGGCTACAGCTGTCAACCCTACAGGTTTATTTTATTTCCTAATTTCGACTTTCTTCCATATTTTCCCCAATGAGAATGTTCTAGCTCCATAGTCTGGAAAAACTAGTTTAGTAAAAACAAGGTACTCCTCTTACCAAGTTTTTGTACATAGATAACAGAAAAGAGACGCAGGCAGAGGGAAGGTTAAGCCACTTCCTCTGACATGGCTTAGAAGTGAGCTCATCTTCACGCACAAGATAAACCAAGCCTCAGACGGTCCCCCACCTGCCAGCACAGGGGAGCGTGGCCCAGGGCAGGCTGCGGCATCAGGAACAGCTCTCCCCATGAATGTGATTTCCCTTGACCTTTCTTGTATACTCTCAGGCCTTTGCATTGCTCACTTCAGCCACACTTGCTCCTGGGCCCAGACTTCCTATCGGTCCCTAGAGGACCTTGCCCAAAGGATGGTTAGGCTGGGCTGGTTAGTCTCTGATCTTCTAACTTCCTCAAAATCCTGCTCACCCAAGCCCTGGGTATTACAGAACTGTTCTATTTAAAGGTCTCTAATAGATGCACAAATTCATAACAACTCATGAGAAGACGGAGTCATTCATTCATTTGACAAATATCTGCCTCCAGGGATTTTCCAAAGGGAATGAAATGAAACACTGTTAGTCTACTTCCTAGTCCAGTGCCGGACACGCTGTAAATTTAAAGAATAAGCAAAGAGTGTTTATTTCTGTGTAAGGAGGTAGATCTAGTCCTCTTCTAGAAATGACAGCAAGACTCACAGAAGTTCTGTAACCAGCTCCAGACCACACAGGCAGTCAGCGACTAAGCCTGTAGTCAAACTGGGGCCCCTCGCAGGCTTCCAACCAAGGTCAGGCCCCGTCTATCTCCCCTACTACCCCGATCTCAAACCAAAGGTTTCTTTTATGGATTGAGGGGACAGTTACAGTTCTCTTCAGCACACCCAGCTTCTTCATGTGGCCCAAAGAACTGTCATTTTTTCTGAAAATACATTCTCTTGCTACATCTGTTAGCTGATTCTCCCTTTCTCAGCTACTATCTTTACGGCTACAAGAAGCAAATGTACCATGACTTGGGATCAGGTAACATTTCTGCTTGGGTTATAGCGCCATCATGTGGCCACTTCATTTTTACACAGTGGAGGCTGCAGACCATGCAGATAATCATCCTTGCATAGGCCCGGGCAGGTGGTTTGCCTAACATATCCCACTCAGCAATGCCTAGACTTTTCATTGATCATATGTAGGTTTGCAAAAAGCTAAACAAGCAACAAGACTTTTAAGATATTGATAAGGTCTTTTCCAAAACCCCAAATGCTAAATGTTAAAATCTAATTTAATACATATTTTAAAACCAGTGTGGAGTGGGCATTTAGCCTAGTGGTTAAGACACCTGTGCCTGCATTCCATTCTTGGTTCCAGCTCCTGGGTCCAGTTTTCTGCCAGTGTAGGCCCTTGAAGCAATGGTGATTGTTCAAGAAATTGGGAGAACACAGATGGAGTTCCTGGCTTCTGGCTCCAGGCTCCATGCCGGCCCCACCTGGCCACTGAAGGCCACTGAAGTCAGTGAACCAGGGGATGGGAACCAACTATTTGTCTGTCTCTCTCAAATAAATAAGTTTTGATTAAGAACAATTACACGTACATTTGCTTTTTGTTTGCTACTTTCCTGCTGTAAATTATAGCTTCTTACAGGACTGACTTGGCATTTGGGGGAAAATGTTGAAGACACAGCTGGGCTCTTCCTTCAATAGCCAGAAAACCATGGACCTTTCCATGCTGAGTTGGTGGCAATTTGAAACTCAATGGCTCCAAAATAGAACAGAAAACAGAAGTTGGTTTGTTGTGATGAAAATGTCCCTGCAATCCCCCAAATGAGAGAAAACCTGGGGTCTGGAACAGCGCCCAAGAGGCACTTTCACTCTGATGTACCGGCGAGCAGGGGCAGCACACAGCACACCTTTCCTGTCTGAGCCGCCACAGGTCCTGGCTCCCACGGGCTCCTGTGCACGCGGCTACTCTGCAGGGACTCCCTGAATATGGGATCTGATGACACAGGAATGGTGGGTGGCTTCCAGCACTAGTTTGGTGTGTGTCCTGGGGCAAGTCCCTTTCCCCGTTGGCCTCAGTCTGTAGAAGGCAGAGGACAGAGCGGGGAGCATGAAGGTCTTTCCCAGCTGTGACCTCCCAAGGTTCTAAAGCATAAGAAGGGGGTTGTGCAGGTCCTGGTTCTTTGACTTGTACTCGGCACTTGGAAAGAGCTGCACGTGCTTTGAGATGACGGCCAGTCTCTTGGTCCTGAACTTCGTAACCGACAGATGGGGAATGTAGGGCCGTGACCGTCAGCCAGAGGCAAACCCATAGCACTTCCTGTCCTGCACTTTTCTGTGGTATTCCAGTAATTGCAAAGAGGTGTCACAGAACCTGTACACGGTCCTGGTGAATGTTTCCTGTCTCTCTGCACTTCTGCTGGTTCTGATCTTCCCTACCTCATGCATGTAGTTAGTTTCCTTGGTAAAAATGCAGAAAAAGCAGTAACTGGGTGAGCCACAGGCATCTATAACCAGGATTTCTCATTAAGCCTTTAGTCTACTCCCTACTCTGATCCAACAGAGATTTCCTTAACAAACCCTGGATTTTCTGTCATTTGGGTTTCTGACCAAGCTGTTCTCCCAGTCACAAACTCTCTTACCAGCCAAGTCATACCAATCCTCGAGAGGCAGATTAAGGCCCTCCTTGGCGTTCTTAGGAACAGATCAGAATCTCATGCATTCTCCAGGGACAGGTCAAACACCCTCTGAGGTTTCTTCTGGCAGGTCTCAATCTCATGTGTGGGCTGTTAGAAAGTGCAAGATCTTTGGAAATGGGTACAAATCTTGTCTTGTCTTTTTGCTTGTTATCTACTCAGGGCCAGTTAAGTCACTCTTTGGGATGCCTGTATCCCATACTGGAATGCTGCATTTCAGTTCTGGCTCCCATGCTGATTCCAGCTTCCTGCTAATGCACACCGTGGGAAGTGCAGATGACAGCCCAAGTACTTGGGTTCCTGCCAACCATGTGGAAGACACAAATGGAGTTTGGGCTCCTGGCTTTAGCCTGGCCTGTATCTGGCTATTGTAGGCAACTAGGGAGTCTACCAGTAGATGAGAGATACCACTCTCTATTTCTGCCTTTCAAATAATAAAATAAATAAATTTCAAAAAATCGCCCCTTTCTGGTTGTTTTGATGGGTAAATATGGTACCTTTCATAAAAGCTCTTCCTCTAACAAATCAGCATGTTTTCCTTTCCCTCTCTTCCTCCTTCCCGGATTCTCCTAATGTTTTAAAACCCAACTGTGGAAAAGGCGGAATTCTTCCATGAAGTTTTTTTTTTTTTTTTTTTTTGCCATTTGCTTGGTTGAACATCAGCTTTTTTTGTGGGCAAATACTGTATCTGTGTCCCATGACAGTGTACAGAAAAGTATTCTTAATTTGGTAATAATTGAGTAAATGTCTACTGAATGAATGAATGGATTTCAGGAATGAAAAGGGATGAGAATAGAGGGGAGTCCTGGGCTGGCTTTGCGTGCAAGGCATGTCTGTTGGGAAGTCTGGGGCTGAAGCCATGATGTGTAGATGTTAACACAGAGCCCCATGTTCCCAGATGGCAAGAGATCTTCGAGTTCCTCTTGGTGACTTACGGAGTCATCCATGCCCAGAAGGACCAGCAGTGGGATGGTGGTCATCCCTCCATGTACCCATTCCTGCAGAGACACAAAGCCGTCCTGGTCGTAGTCCATCCCTTGCAACATCTCCTTCAATATCTGCGGGATCCAAAGATCAACACTTGTCCGTTTTCATCATCCACTCTTCGACCTCCCTCCCGACCCCTGCTTCTCTTTGGTCCTGTGTTGTCTGGTTTGTGCTTTACCCATTTCTCTCCTTCTCACTCATGGTGAGAAGTAGGGGAGTAAGCTGGAGGTGAGGAAAACAGGGCTGCAGGTCCAGCCCTGCCCTGACCTGACTGCGAGGTTTTGGGCAGTCATCCAAACCCTCTGATTTGTTTACCTGTAAAAATGGAGACAATATTGCAACCCTGTGGTTGAGGATGGAAGAAAATGTATACAGGTTGAGTATTACTGATCCAAAAGTTTGAAATCAGAGATACTACAAAACCTGAAATTTTTTGAGTGCCAATGGGATATGCACACAAAATTTCAGTTTTTTCGGATTTAGGATTTTCAGATTAAAGATGCCTGAACAGTAAAGCCTATGCAAACATTTCAAAATCTGAAAAACTCCAAAATATGAGATACTTCTAAAGGATTTCAGGTAAGGGCTATTCAACGTGTAAGAAGCTCCTAATATAATACCTGATGCATAGGAGCCCATAGAAGTCATTACTATTATTAATAATACTATCTGGTGACTGAGAGAATGTCTAAAATTCTTTCTACCTCTCAATGCTTTGATCTATGAGTTCCTGTGATAAAAATTTTTGCTCTGGAAAGGTTAGGAGAATTAGTGCTTCAGATGTGTCCACACTTTTTTTCTGCTGCCTTACAACTTTCTTATCAGAGAAGTGGGAGGTCAGGGTATAGGACTCCAAAGAAGCTGCCTACAGGAAAGTGTCTGGGAACACCTGCACAGTCAGCATTTGCATCCAAGTCTCCTCTTGGAAACTCACTGTGGAGTCACCCCATTCTTACAGATACTCACAGGTCTTAGCTCTGTAGGATCCCATTCCAGGTACTGAGCAATATGTAGCATTTGGTTGACAATGCAATCCATCTCCTGGAAAATAGCAATGGAAGAGAATATCAAAGGGCCATAATCAAAGATGTGGTCTCAAGAGCACAACTCAAACTCAAACCCCTGGGAAGACAGGCAGGGCAGAGCATAAGAAGCAGGTGCAATTCATGGGTATTTCATGAAGAGCTAACCATTTGTTCCTTGACTGCAGAACTCAGTGGTCAGTAGAGGCTCACAAGAGGCCTGGACCATGGATAAGCCAAAGGCATGTGGAGACCTTAACAGGCACTGACCTCCTCCTGGCCCCATGTGGCCTCATCTTCATTATCCACCTCGTCTTCATTCCCCTATTTTTGTTCTTTGATTTGAAAAGCATAGAATGCACTCCTCTTTTCTCCTGTGTTGTGATCACAACTCCCACAAAGGCCTACAAACCAAGGCAGGACTCTCTTCCTCCTTCTTATGGCTCCTCATCCTCATAGCCTTAGCAACTCGGGACCTACCTATCCCCTCCCCACATTCTCCAGAGATCAGCTTCCCTTGGATGGAGAGTTCCTGTGATGGTCCTATCTCCAGTGCTATGATTTAGAGTCCTTTTGACATCTCCTTTGTTTCCTTTGAACCATAGTTCAGCCAGGAGTCTGGACTCCTTCTGGATATGTTTGGCTGATGATCATTCTTTTGGTAACAAGACCAGGTTCCATCCAAAACCTCAGAGTTGCTGGGAGCTAATGAGTTCAGAGCCCTGGCAGTCACAGGGTTAAAACACATCCAACTAAGGAGGTATTTGGTGTCAATGTTAGCATCTGTTGGGCACTACCTAAGATGTTCATGTTAAGATTGTTTAGGGGGGACGTGTAGTCTCCCTATTGACTGGAAAGTTTTGTCTTGGAGCCAGCATTGTGGTGCAGCAGGTTAAACTACTGTTTGCAGCACTGGCATCCCATGTAGGTGCTGGTTCAATTTCCAGCTGCTCCACTTCCAATCCAGCTTCCGGATAATGTGCCTGGGCAAGCAGTGAAAGATGTCCTGTGTGCTTGGGCCCCTGCACCTGCGTGGGAGACCTGGAAGAAGCTTCTGGCTCCAGGCTTTTTCCAATTCAGTTTCCTGCTAATTGCACTCTGGAAGTCAACAGGTATCACAGCTCAAGTCCTTGGGATTCTGTCACCTATGTGATGTATCTGGGTCATGCCTCACAAGACAGCCTTCTCAGGAGGGTCTTCATAAAAGCTGAGCTATGGCCCAGTCTTGGCTGTTGCGGCCATTTGGGAAGTGAACCAGCAGATAGAAGATCTCTCTCTATCTCTCTTTCTTTCTCTCTCTCTCTCTAGCTCTTTCAAATAAATAAGTTAATAAACAAACAAATAGCTCTTAAAAAAGTTTTATCTCCACCAGAGAGAGTGCTGGGTCAAAATAAGCTAAAACCAAATAGAGATTTAAAAATTTGTATTTCATTTAAATTACAAAATAATTTATTGCAGAACTACAGGACGAAGCAGTAGAAGAAGGCAAGAAAGTGGGTAGAAAAGTGGGGACAGGGCTTGGCAGAAGTTCTAATGGGAATGAGCTTGTGGGTCTAGCTAGGCCCATGATTCAATGATAAAATGTGATCCAGGAGCTGAGAATAAGGCTCAGTGATGGGCTGTGTAAACAGGAGAGTGGGCAGACTTCAGGAAGAACTGGTTCCCACTGTCTACACTGCTCAGGCCACATCTGGATACTGAAAAAGGTCACAGTGGGTGGATTCTGTTCCGTCATATCTTAAGAATAACACTGACAACAAACCAGAGCTTGACCAGGATGGACCTCTAAGCCCATGAAAAATAGGCTAAAAAACTCGGCAATTTTAGCTTGGAGAGAATTTTACGGAATGTATGATGGCACACACAAATACCTGCAGGCCTGCTGTGTAGAGTAGGCATTTCACTTGTTCTGGTAGCAGAAGGAAGCCAGAGGATTGGAGGGAGAAGAGGACTTGAGAGTTTGCCTGCTTCAACCTCCTTTCTGGGAGAAGGAGGCAAGAGTGGAAGCAGGTCTGTGTGAAAGCTGACTGCTCTGGCAGACAGAGGTGGCTTTTGTTGAGAGAGGAGGCCCTCTCTTACAGTCATCACTATCAGTGGAATGGCTGTGTTACGGTGGGAGTGATCTCATCACTGGGATTTTCCATGAAGAGGCTAAGAGTTCATCTGTCAGGTATTGTGGGTGGGAAACTGAATCCAGTGAGAGAGTTGCTCCAGCCACCAAGTTGCCTTAAGAACGTATCTGGAATTTAACCATTTTGTTCCACCTACAATGCTGGTACCTAGTGCAAGGTGACCTCACTTTATGTCTTGATTATTACAGTAGTCTGCTAGCTGGTCTCCTGGCTTCATCCCTACAGCCTATGCCCAGCACAGTAGCTAGAGAGATCTGTTGATACATAATCTTGTCACTACTCTGCTCAAAACCTTCACTGTTCTTTTCATTTCTCCAGGGTGAAAAAAGATAAACATTTCAATCACCTATGAGGCTGGAACTCCCTCTCAGACTCCCTCCTCTTTCCACCCCATAACTGACCTTGCGTGCTAGTACTTCCTCACTGCTCAGTCATCCTGCTCCCATTCCTCTGGTCCCTCAGTGAATCTTCTAACATTTGTCACCCCTCAAGACCCTTGTACTTGCTGTTCCCTCTGAAGGCTTTTCTCCTAAGTCTCCCAGGACCCACTCTCTTGGGCTCTCAAAGTCTCTGTCCAGATGCCTCCTCTTTGGGAGGCTTGCCTTGGCTACCCTAACTAAAGCTACAATGCCTTCCAACACATCCTTTCTCTCCTTGCAAGCATGTATCTCTACCTAACACACAGTTTACGATGCTGGTTAGTCTCTATGCTTGGACTAGAATGAAAGCTTCATAAGGGCATGGGATTTTGTCAGCTGGCTACACTGATGTATTCCCAGTGCTTACAATAGTGCCTGACATGTGATGGACAACTCAGGAAATACGTGTTCACCAAATGCCTGGGAGTCTGTGATTCTCTGTTCCCTCAAGCGTCCCAACCTGCAGCGCTGCAGTGTGGCTGCAGGGATCCCATAAAGGCACCCTGGGTCTTGCAGGGGATTGGGAGGATTCTGGTGCTCAAAGGGAATTGTTTCTCCCTCCTTCCTCCTTCCCTTCCTTCCTCCCCTGCCTCCCTCTGTTCTGACACAGCCCCCACACACCTCAACCTCAGAACCTTCCTATTAACAGAGCCCTGTCCCTGGTGTTGCCAGTCAGGACCACAGAGCCCACGTGACTCCATTTGCCTTCTCTCTCTGCCTTTCTCCTTTTCCATCCTTCTTCTCACTCTGCAGTCCTGTGATCCCTGACCTATCTCTGCCTCTTCCTGAAGGGGTGGGTGTATCAGGCCTTCCCAGAGGCAGAGGGATGGGATCATGAAGACAGAGAAAATGCCTCAGCTGGTGCCCTGGGGTAAGAGAGGAAGTCAGGGGTGATGCCCAAGCACACCGGCAGTAACCTCTGCACCTCTGGCCGTCTTGCCCTGGTCTTATTGCTGCTCCCCCTCCCTGCTTGGTTCCTGGGCTCTGGCAGGAAATTGCAGGGGGAGGGGAGAAGTTAAACTAGACAAGATACTAAAGCATCTCCCCATCCTAAGATTGCATGATGCAGGGCTTCTTGGATGCAAAGGTGAAGTACTGTTCACCTTCTGCAAGGATGGCTCTTTGGAAATAGGAGGGGAAGGGTTCTACTCAGACCCCTGCAGTCCTTACTGAGACATTCCTGTCCCCACAAAGATGAAACTGCTCCTCCCTCCCCCAGCCTTTTTCGGCGCACGGAGGGAATATCTGGAGTGAGAGCTTACCGCTTGGTCCAGGAGACCATTCTCATCTGAATCGTAGAGACGAAACATGACTGCAAGAAACACAGAGAGCCAGGCTTGAGGTGTCTTCCAGGAACCTAGGATGAGCTGGAGTTTTGAAGCTGCCATGCTTTTTGATGAGTTCTGGCCATCACTGGGAGGAAAGGTGCTGTAGCCAGCTCATCCATGCTGCAAGCTGCAGGGCCTAACTTCCTCAGAAACAGAGGTTGGAACAAGGGAGGAGAATCAAGCTGCCTGGCTTCCGGACCCACCTCGGCAATAACTGCAGCTGATGAGACCCACGTCGCCTGTATGATTCCTGGAGAGCAGGCACAACTCCTTAGCATCACTGAAACACAACTCAAGGCAAGCCCCCAGCTGGGGCCGGGGCAGAGGCACAGAGTTACAGATGAGCCTTTGCTCCCATAGCACACAGAAAGGGTGTAGAGTCAGGCAGGTTCAAATCCCAGCCTCGTCACACCACTCCATGCTAACAATTTCTTTCTCCTAGGGCTCTTGTGTACCTGATATGCCAATCAACTGTGCTTGCAATGGGGAAAGCAACCAACAGATTTCAGTTATTTTTATTTTCATTTTTTAACTAATATTTAGCTATAGCATTTAGAGTTGCAAAGTGCTGTCCTGTGCACTTTATCATCACCACCTGATCCTCAGTAATGCTAGGAGGTAGTTACCACACAGGAGCACATATATCTTTCTTCTAAAAGGTCAGCATGCTACTGAGGGAGACCCTCAGTCAGGCTCCAGCGCAGGGAGGTGAGTAGGATAAGGAAGAGCTGGAAGAGAAATTTGGACAAAGGACTAAATGGTCATCTCTGGGACCTGGAAATCTGTATTCCATTCCACCGAAGTGTAGAGCTCCTGTGATCTCAGAAGGAATCAGGGTAGGAAGTGGAGCCAGACACGTCCTCATCTACTGTCCACTCTAGAATACTCCACCGTGCCTGGGTTCTCCCTGGAGTGCCCCCGGCTGGTCCTTCCCTGATGCAGCCCCTCTGGGCCTCAGGACGAGCCCACCTGGTCACACACACTCCTGCTAAGGACACCTTGGCTCTTAGATTCCTTCCAGATGTCTCCATGTTGCTGTACTCTGTATTTTTTCAGTGATGCGACCTCACTGAGCGTGCAGCTTCTGTTCTTTATGAAAAGGTTTATGGGCTCCCTTCCGATTCTTTGCGACTCCTCAGAATGTCCCTGTCAGAGGCACGAAGCATACGCTGCTGACTTGCTGAGCAGATGGTTGAATGATACAAAGCACAGAGCGTCCTGCTAGATTGTTCAGGAACTCTGGGCCTAGATGGTCTTTACCAACTGACCTCTCTCTGGTCCTACTGTGCAGAACAATGGAGCTCGAGAGCTGAGTGGGCACCTATTTTTCTTTTTTTAAGCACTGTGGTCTTAGGCAAGTCTGTTAACCTTCCTGTGTGTTCTTACATGTAAAATGAGAATAATCAAATCATCCTTTTAGGGCTGTTGTGGGGTTAAAGTGAGACAATGCATTTAAAATGTTTAGCAAATGAAAGGTGTTCAGTAATGAGAGTTACTGTGATTGCATTAGCTATAGGAGAGATTTCAGGCTATAATTTGCAAAAAAAAAAAAAAAAAGTGAAGAAGGAAAAGCTTAACTTACTTTCAGTCATGACAATTAGAGAATGTGAACTGATGCAGTTTAATAAAAAACCCAAATGAAAACTCTACAGGACAATGACCAAGTTTCTGCAATGAAAGAGTTCAAGGAAAAAAGTTAGTGAAAGAGAAGAAAACAAAGGATTAAAAGGAACTGAAGACAGGGGTGGTGCTGTGACAGAGAAGGTTAAACCTCCACCTGCAGTGCTGGCATCCCATATGGGCGCTGGTTCGAGTCTGGGCTGCTCCACTTCCTATCCAGCTCTCTGCTATGGCCTGGGAAAGCAGCAGAAAATGGCCCAAATCCTTGGGCCCCTGCACCCACGTGGGAGACCTGGAAGAAGCTCTTGGCTTGGCCTGACCCAGCCCTGGTCATTGTAGTCATTTGGGGAATGAAGCAGCAGATGGAAGATATCTCTCTCTCTCTTCTTCTCTCTCTGTATCTCTGCCTTTCAAATAAATAAATCTTTTTTAAAAAAGGAACAAAAGAGATGGGATCACCAATGGCAATACATGGACTTTATTTGGATCCTGATCCAAACACGCAATGCACTGTATATAATTGGAAAATTGTGAATACTGACTGGATATTTAGTAATGCTAAATAATTATTTTCTTCTATTTCCCTCTGTCTCTTTCTCTCTGTCTGTAACTCTGACTTTCAAATAAATAAATAAATCTTTTTTAAAAAGGATTATTTTCTTTAGTTGGGATAATAGTGTTGTGGTTATATTTATGAAAAGGAGTGTGACCTTAGGGCCACATACTTAAATCTTTACAAATGAAATTATATGATGCCTGGAATTTGCTTCAAAATAATCTGAGGCAGAGGGAATGGGTGACATGTGTGAAGTAACCAAGATAGACCACGAGTTGAAGCTGTGGGACAGGCACGTGGAAGTTATTTACCTTAAATATTTTCCATTTTAAGAAGTTCTAAAGTTTCTTATTGCCACTCCAAGACTCAGTCTGAGAGTCACACCACGAAGACCCTGCCAACATTCTCTTTGGTAGTTATTTTTTTTTCCAAAGAAACCTTTTATTTAAGGAATACAAACTTCATGCATTTCATAAGTACAACCTTAGGAATATATTGATTCTTTGGTAGTTATTAATAAATATAATGCCTAAGACCCCAAACGCAGCTGAATGTTAGAAATAATTTGACATTTCACTTTCAACATTATCCAGAAGAAAAACGAAATCTGCTACATTTGCTACCAAATTAGCACTTAGGACCTGCGATTGTTAGCGCCTTGAACCAACGGGGGAGATCTGAGCTCAACACACGAGCAGACTGTTTCATTTTGTTTTTGGCGCGCGTTCACCATTGGCAGACGCCCCTCGCTAACATCTACCAGTCTCCCTGTTCACTGGAATTCTGACGTATGTCTTTTCTTTACTGTCTACTTGAGTTCCCAAGAGAAGCAAAGACAGTATGGATTTCTCAGTGAGGTCCCATCACCTCCTGGCTAACAAAGTCTTCCTGCAGGCTCACCTAGGCCAGCCGGCGAAACCATCCCTGGTCTGAGTGCTCGGCCAGGCTGCAGGCTGTGCCAGCCACTCTGGACTTTTCTTTTTGCCACTACTCCTACTTCCTCCCGAAGGCGTGTATTTGAAATCAACTTTAGTTGCACCATGAAACCAATTCCCTCTTTTCAGGAACTAGTCTTTTTTTCTCTAGAGGCCATAAGAGCTTGAGGTGATAGGTGAATAGAGAAATGGAAATAAGCCTTAACAAGATAGAGGTTGATTACAGCTCAAGGAAAAAAAAAAAAAAAGAATTCCTCATAGTTAAAAAGTTGCTTGGGCATGGAATAGGGGAAGACAATGTTGATTATCTTTTCTGGAAAGATCCACTAAGGGGGGGCCAGCAGTTTTTGGATAGCAGGATTTGCCAGCAAAACAAGGGAGCCTCGACCCCTTGATGGGACCATCTTCCCCTCCCATATTGCGGTTCTGAATGCCAAGGTCTCCGCTGATTTAGGATTGATGGACAAGACCCAGATATTCCTCTAGGAAAAAGTGGAGGCCCCTTGGCAGGGCAAGCACTTACACTCCAGTTTATCCTGAGGTCTTCCTGTCTCCAGCAGGGACAGGTAACACACAACGTCTTTCAGGTACACGGTGGACAGTTCTGAGCCTGAAGACTGATCAGCAGGGGCTCCCAGGGAGGTCACAGACACCTGGTCTTTAGCTGATGCTTGCTTCTCGGCCATCTTTGATTCTGTGACAGGCAAAAGGAAAGCATCCAAAGACACTTAGTGTTTAGTAACTATTAATCCCTCTTTGTTGCCCCATTCTACTCACAACGGCAGGAAGGATTTTATATAGGTTTCTTCAAAAGCTTTGGTTACCTAGATGTGACCACATCAGTGGCCCTAGAAATTCAGATGGTGGAGTTCACATTTTCTGAATGGACTCCATTCTAGAGTCCATTAGCTCATAGAAGATTCATCTGTATGCTGTGACTTTTTGGAAAAGAAACTTAGATAACAATAACCATAATTGTCATTCAGCCCACAGTTTTGGGAATACATCTAAATTTCAGAAGTAATTTGGGATGAAATTTCAAAATGGTAAGTGACCCATAGTCATTTGCCAGTATATCCTCTAAAAATTTCCTTCTCAAATGCATTTAAAGGCAAAGAGAATAATATTCGGAAAAGAAAATTTGGATGAACATTCAGCTGATTTCTAGAAACTTAGAACTGTGACCACATGCATTATGTGGACACTCTTTATACAAAGAGACAGGCAATGGGAGTAAATATCTCAATTTAGCAGAGTTATCCTGGATGAAAACCTGCCAGGTTCTGGGGGTTAGGCTGAGAGGAAGGAAATTAGACATTACGGACAGTAGGGGAGGTCGAAGGTCACTGATGCACGGTATTTGTTATACCGTGAAGGGATTTGGATGGAGCATATGAAATGGTCTCAGAAGACCAGATCTTTTAAAGTAATTTCCTACTGGAAAAGCCTATCAGCAGCTTGTAAGAAGATATAACCGCTTTTAAACAAGAGCAGAGGGGCTGGCGTTGTAGTGTAGTGGATTAAGCCACCACCTGAGATGCCAGAATCCCATATGGGCACTGGTTTGAGTCCTGGCTGCTCCACTTTCCAATCCAGCTCTCTGCTAATGCATCTGGAAAAGCAGCACAAGATGACCCAAGTACTTGGGCCCCTACCACCCACATGGGAGCTCCAGTTGAAACTTGGCTTCAGTGTGTCTCAGCCGTGGCTGTTGAGGCCATTTAGGGAGTGAACCAGAGGATGGAAGATGGTTCTGTCTGCCTGTCTCTCTCTTTCTCTGTCTCTGCGACTCTACCTTTGAAAGAAATAAATAAAATCTTTAAAAAAAAAACAAGAGTAGACAGCATCAGAGGTGTGCAAGCAGAGAAGAAAATACAATAGGATGAGATAAAAACAAAGATGGGGCAGGCACTGGCATAGCAGTTAAGATGCTGTTTGGGATGCCTGCATCCCATGTGGGAGTGCCTGGGTTCAAGTTCCAGCTCTGCTCCTAATGCCAGTTTCTGCTAATGTGCACCATAGGAGATAGCAGGTGACAGTTCAAGTAGTTGGGTCCCTGTCACCCATGTGGGAAACCTGGATGGAGTTCTTGGCTCCTGGCTTTGGCCTGGCCTAATCCAACTGTTGCAGGTATTTGGGAGTGAACCAGTGGATGGGAGATGTTTCTCTGTCTATCTCTTTCTGTTTCTGAAATAAACATGATAAATATATAAAAATGAAAAAAAGATAGTGAGGTGGGAAGGATTATAATGAAGTGACATATGAAATAGAAGTATTAAAATCATCACTGGAGGAAAGCTAGGGAAAAACATAACAACACAGAAGACAAATGAGAGGTCATTTACCCTGGGTAGTCCACACTACCCCAAGTTATTGTTACATTTCAGATAATTTATCAATTGAAATATCATCAACAATTTCCACTTTGACTAAAATAGAGACCAGCTTTATACTCCCATTTGAAACAACAACAACAACAACAAAACACTGGACAAAAGGTATGAAACAATGGTTCACTGGAACTTGAACATCAGGCAGCACTAAACAGTTATCTCTGAAAAGATGGGAAAGAACCCCTATAATTGCCACACTTCACTGTTTGGAAAGAGTTTGAGGGGGAACCCAGGCAGATTGTAGCAGTCCCTCTAATGTTTGGAGAGGCCAAGGTGGCTGGAGTTCATGGAGCAGAGCTCTGGGGAGAAGGGAGCTGCCAAAGAGAGAGAGAAGTCTGGAGATCATTAGGTGTCCCTTTTGGGTAATCAGCAGAGAGTTCTCTTCAATTATTCATCTGAGTAGTGATTAGCAGTACTTAAGAAACTATGCAATGCTAGGGAAAGAGCCAGAATTAGAGGGAAAAGCCCTGGTATGCAAAGAGAACAAGGAATAATTCTTATTCCCACCAAACAGGGTAGAAAAATCTCCACTATTCACACATCATTGGTAGAATGCTCAGAAGAGATTTGCTTCAGTAAGGAGGCCCCAGAGTAAATGTCTTTTCAGTCCTGCCTGATGAGGCCTGAAAGGAAGGCCCAGAATGGTAGACCAAGTATCTGTACTCCAACACAAAGCGCAAGAATATTTGTTGGAATGCAAAAATACCCAGTATGCAACACTTAAGGAAGATATATTTGAATTCTACACAAATTCTTCCAGAAAATTTAAGCAGAGAGAATCCTATGCGACCCATTTTATGAGACTAGCACTACTCTAAAGCCAAAATCAGAAAAAAAAACATTGTAAGAAAAGAACATGCATATCAGTGACTTCCATGAACACAGATGTGAAAGTTCCAAACAAAATTTTACCAAACTGAACCCAAAACACACAAAAGAAATTAAATAAAACATAAATGAATCCTTGTGTTCAAGGATCAGAGACTCAGTATGTTAAGGTATTAGTTCTTTGTGATATTGAGATAGGCAAAGATTTCTAAGGCATGATGCCAAAAGCGCAGCCCATAAGAGAAAAAAAAAGTTGAATTAGATTCATAAAAATTTTGCTCTTCAAAAGACATTGTTAGAGAATGAGGAGACAAGTCACAAACAAGAAAATATTTTAATTGGCTAGATTTGATCAAGGACTTGTATCCATAATATATAAATAATTCTCCATTCAACAAGAAAGCAAAACAATGTAATTTTAAAATGGGCAATGGAGTTGAACAGTTTACTAAAGAAGATATTGTATACATATGTCAATCATGCACATGAAAAGATACTCAGCATCATTAGTTCTGGGAAAACACAAACTAAAACCACAATGTAATACTGCTACACACCTATTTAATGGGTATATAATAAAGACTATCCTACTGAGGATCGATAAGCGTATGAGAGCCACAGGAACTCTCACACAGGTGTGTATCTGGTTCAACCACTATGGAAGGGTTTGGCTCTTACAAACATGTACCTACCATACTTTACCCAGTCTTTCCACTTCTAGGTATTCATCCAAGAGAAATGAAAAAAAGTTTCACACAAAACTTGTATAAGAATATTTCTAACAACTTTATTTGCAATAAGCCAAAACTGGAAAGAACCCAAATGTCCATCAGTGAATAAACACAAGTTGAATGGAGGAACATACTATCGAATATCTATGTATTAGAATGCTAATCAGTCATTAAAGCCATGAGCTACACATGCATTCATGTGCCCATATATGTAAACACACAACATTAATAAATCTCACAATTATGCTAAGTGAAAGAAACCAGACCCAAAAGGGAACATACTGCCTGGTTGTATTTATATAAAATCTAGAAATACAATATAATATAAAATGACAGAAAGCAGAACAGTGGTTGGATGGGGATGGGAATGAGGGAGGGTGGAGGAAGGGATTACAAAGATGATATTTGGAGATGATGGCTGCGCTCACTGTACTGATGTGGTACTGGCTTTACAGATGTACACAGATGTCAAAATCACCAACTGTGTACTTGAAACACGTGCAATTTATCTTCTTCCAATGACACCTCAAGAAACCTATTTTTAAGACATCAGCACAGCCTTTGCTGAAGATCTTTGATTTACTAGAGCTGTGGTTGGATCTTGAGCCACTATTCTAGTTTTCATGGAGGTTTAATGTTCACTCCCGTCTTGGGGGTGCTGAGCTCTGGGAGGACACAGTGGCATTGGCCCATCTCATCAATGTCATTCCTCCTGCTGCTGTTTTGCATGGAACACGCCTATCTATAGCCACATGAGAACACCATCCAGTCCCACCAGTGGAAGCTCACTAATGTGCTCTTACAGACCACAGAGGTTGATCTCTGATGCCAACCACAAACCCTCTCACATGGGAGTTCTTGGGCACACCTGACTTCTTCCACCTCACCCCTTGCCTGATCTCTGCATTACTTGTTGGGTTCTAGCTGTGCAGTGTGGCACAGTGGAAAGAGCACTGGGATTCTAGCATGGGGTTTGAGTTAAATGATGTGTGATTTTGCATAAGTGATCTTACTCTCCCACACTCAGCCTCAGGTTTCTGACTTGTTAAAAATGGGGGTCACAGAGTGGGCATTTACCCTAGTGGTCACCATGCCTATGTTCCTGGAGCGCCCAGGTTTGATAACTCAGCTCTGGCTCCTGACTCCAGCTTCCTGCTAACGCAGACTCTGGAAGACTGTGGTGATGACTCAGGTAGTTGGGTCCCTGCAACCCACATAGGAGACTTGGATTGAATTAGCAGTCTAGGCCCAGGGCAGCCGGTTACAGGAATTTGAGGAGTGAATCAGTAGATGAGAGCTCTCTCTAGCTCTCTCTCTCTCTCTCTCATCTATGTCCTCAAATAAATGAGTTAATTTAGAAATGTTTACATGAGGGGATTGCATTGAAGCGGATATTAATCCAAAATCTTGAAATACAGAAATGTTTGTGAATATAATGTGTAGTGGAAAAACAAAGTTGTATCCAAATTCCGTAGCAAATTACACAAAAAATATACAATGACACACACACAATTGGATTGGCAGCATTCTGGGTGATTTTGTTGTTTCTTTTCATTTAAGAATTAATTTTTTAGAGCTCACAGCAAAATTAGAGAAAGGTGCAGAGATTTCCTGCATACCTCCTGCTCCTACACACTTGTCCTGACAGTGACAGAGTGCTGGCGGCTCTGAGCTCATCTCTGGGCCCTGCGAAGACCCCACTCCACTGTTTTATGGACACAAGCCTGTAGCCATCTGGCTCTGGGAATGAAAACACTGAAGTGGGTTATGATAGATCTGAGCCTGGAGACTCATCCGATAGGCCTAGACCATTCATATCAAATAAGTCTAAACTCTCCCTCTGGCTTCTACTTAGGCAACAGGAAAAGGGTGAAGTTTTCAGCAGATGGTCTGGTCTTAGGTGACTCCAGGACTTGGCAGTTCCCTGCTGGCAGAGGCTCTCTCCGTGATGTCTGCCTGGCCCTGTATTCTTGTTGCTGGTGAACAGGGACATCTAATTAAGACATCCATGTAAGGGTGTAGCAGGAAAGGATTTTCTCCTTCAAATCTCAAGACTCAAAAGAAGATTAAATAATATATACTATATACCTTCCTGTGCCAGGAGTCAGATAATTGCCCTTTCACAGTTTGACAATAGGGGACTGGTTTTCCCCAGGCACAAGGAAAATGGTGCCTCATATATGATTTACATATGACTTAAAGCCATTTCACCAAGAGCCATGGACCTAGCACGGCTGGGAGGGGTCCTGCGCAGGGTGGATGAGCCCACACTTTTTTAGGGTCTTGCCCTGCTGATGTCCCAAAGGCCCTAATCAGGAGTGCACCAGTGCTTTGAATCCTTGCTTCCACAGCTCCACAAATTTGCTCAGAGTTTTCTGAGCTTATGATCCTGGGGCAACTCTCCGGTCTCAACCTGCTCTGCTTTCTATCCATAGTGAGCTCTGATCTCAGCAGTCCTTTAGCTAAATACTGAACACCATATAATCCTTCTGGTGTCTCAGTTTGCTATGGGAAAAAATTAGAGCTATACTTAAGGTCTGCTTGAAGAAACTGTCTCATCCCCGGTCCCAGGTCCCCCCTCTCCTTCAGCTGGAGTGTTTCTTATCTGTCTTGTTCTATGATTTTTTGAAAAACATAAGAAAGTTGCATCCTTTATCTCCTGGGTAGATCCCTAGCATTAGAACTTACTTTTTTTTATTAAAGATTTTTATTTATTTATTTATTTGAAAGTCAGAATAACACAGAGAAAGAAGGAGAGGGAGAGAGGGAGAGAGAGAGAGAGGTGTCTTCCATCGCTGGTTAACTCCCTAGATGGCCACAACGGCCGGAGCTGCACCGATCTGAAAACAGGAGCCAGGAGCTTCTTCTGGGTCTCCCATGCGACTGCAGGGGCCCAAGCACCTGGGCCATCCTCTACTGCTTTCCAGGTCATAGCAGAGAGCTGGAGTGGAAGTGGAGCAGCCGGGACTGGAATTGGCGCCCATATGGGATGTCTGCACTGCAAGTGTAGGCTTTACCTGCTATGCCACAGTGCCAGCCAGAATTTACTTTTGTATATCTATGAATCTGCTCAATAGTAAATAGGTCGGGGGGGGGGGTGCTGGCACTGTGGCATAGTGGGGAAAGGTGCTGCCTGCAGTGCTGATATCCTATATGGGCATCGGTTCGAGTCCCAGCTGCTCCACTTCCAATCCAGCTCTCTGCTATGGCCTGGGAAAGCAGTGGAAGATGGCCTAAGTCCTTGGGCCCTTGCACCTGGCACCTGTGTGGGAGACCTGGAGGGAGCTCCTGGCTCCTGGCTTTGGATCCACGCAGCTCCGGCCGTCATGGCCATCTGGGGAGTGAAACATCGGATGGATGGAAGACTTCTCTCTCTCTCCCTCTGCCTCTCTGTAACTCTGCCTTTCAATAAATAAAATAAATAACTCCTTTAAAAAATAAATAAGTCTGATTCTTAGAGTCCTCGTATTCAAAACTTCCAGAGCAACTGGGAAGAAAGGGAGTCCATGAGGGATCTTCCAGGAGAAGATGCCCCTCTGACACTCTTGGAGGCTGAGGGTGCAGACTGCATTTTGCAGGCCACGATGAGTTGCTAATAGAGTGTCCTTCTGGAGGGCAGCCTGAATAATGATTGCTATTATTATTTTATTATTGAACATTCACGATGTGCCAGGCATAGTTTGAAGACTATATACATCTAACTCACTTAACCTTTTAACAGCAACTTATTGTCATCTCACTTTATAGATGGGGGAACTGTGGTACAGAGATACAGTTCAAATGAGCCCACTGTTACAGGGTCAGGGAGTGTCAGAGCTGGCAGCGAACTCCACAGTCCACATGCTTAACCAGGATTGCCGGCCCCAATTTGGATAGACAGCACCCAGGAAATTTGTATTGGCCATGAAAACAGAAGTCAAGGATGGTAACCTTTGCTCCTTTCAGTTTTCTAAGGAACTTCTAGCTTTAGGCCTGGACCCAATTTATTCAAAATGATGTATGTTTGTGTTGTTGGAAGTCAGCCAGTGCACACACACACATCTTCTCACTCTCCAGCTATCCACTGGTGGAGTCAGCTGAACCTCAATCCTCAAGCCATTCCTTTATAGCTTCTCTCTCTCTCTCTCTCTCTCTCTCTCTCCCACCCACCCACACACACACACACACACACACTTTCTTCTGAGACCAGCAGGCAGGCCTGTTAGCAGGAAGCATCCAGCGAGCTGTGTCAACTCCTGGCCTGCTCTGTTCCAGGGTGAGTGAGGCAGGAACCTTTACCCATCTATAGCATCCAGGAATACTTGAGGGGTTGGGGGCCACAGAGGGTAAGAGCCGCTGCAGGGTGCGCAGTGGTCCACAGACAAGGTGGCTGGTTTGGTGTCCCCAAGGCTTACACTGCAAGCTTACCAGCATCAGAGGCACAGGCGTTGTCTGCTTGGGCAGCATTATCTACGTTCTGTATATCAGGATCTGGGGAACAAAAAGAAGATGTGACGACCTGTGCTGCCTCCCAGCTTCCCAGAGGAGCATGCAGGGGTCCTCCCCATATGCTCTGATTAACTTGGGTTGTGTCTGCATTTGGATTACTGTCAGCTGGGTCCATGCTTACAGCTTGGGGTTGGCTGTGTGTCCCTCACGTTAGCCTGAGCTCTAGGAAGACAATGACTACACCTTCCCCACCCTCTGACACACCCAGGCTAGGCGCAGCCTGGACACACTGGCCAGAAGTGCTGCATCCATGGACTGGCAGCCTTTGCAGAAGGTTCTTGTCCCCCTCATGTCCCCGTTTCCCCAGTACTACTCTCTGACTCTCAGCAACAGAGATTAAGTCCCTCTTTTAATCCTCTTCCTGACAGATCCACCAGCCAGGGCTTCCTGCACAATGAGGAAAGGAGTCTTGATCCCATGGTCCCGATTCCTGTCCCATGGGGATGTCCTTATGCTCAGGGGACCCTCTAGGAAAGCAGCCTATGCTTGTGGCAAGGGGGTTGGAGCTGCACGGCACCAGCCATGGCAGGAAGGGGTGGTGGTGATCTGCTACCTGGGCCGTTGGGCTCACTGCTGCTAGCCCCCTCCGTTGGGTGGTCCGGGGGCTCCTGCTTGGGCTTCTGGCTGAAGGCCAGGAAGAGGTGTGTGCTCAGTGGCTGAGGAAGGTCCACCTCCAGATACGCCCTCATGAACAGCTTGAAGACATCATAGCTAATCGGCTGAGAAGGAGGCAAAAGAGAAAAGTCAGTGGAGAGAACTAAAGGGCCAAAGAGGAGGCAGAGAAGGACAAGGAGTCAGACACGGCTGGTGAGAAGACGACCAGGGAGGGAGAAGGAATTGGTGGGGGACAGGAGTGGAAAGGCCAGGGAGGTGACAGAAATGACGGGCACAGGATATAAGAAAAAGGCAACACTGGTGGCTGCAAGTTGGGGCAGGCTTTTGTCATAAGACAGGAATTGGTCTAAGTTTAGACAAAAAGGAGGGTGATGGAGAGGGGGCATGCAGAGCAGGGGTCTGTTAGTGCAGGCCCACGTGGCTCCAATGAGCAGCAGCCAGGTCAATGCCCTGGAATTGCAGCTAAGATGCGGAACGATGCAGTTGAAGGCACAATGGAATCGAGGGGTTCTTCTACACAATCATGGTTTTCCTTTTCTGCTATGAGTATTCAAGTCTCAGAAACCAGAAAGAACTGGAAGAAAAAAAGGACACGCTCCATCCTTCATCACTTCCATAATCCTGATCTTTCCTGGACTAACCTCAAGACCACAGGGGAGTGTGAGTGTGCCATGGCAGCTTCTCAAAACATGTCCTTGTGAAGGGTTTAGGCACCGGGAGAAGAACAGGAAGCCAAGGACAGACGGTAGAACCAAGAGACATGCCAAAAACCAGATCCTCACCCTGCTGTGCCCCTCCCAGTACTGCCTGGCTTCTGGTCCCAGGCTGGGAGCAGCCATGCCAGAAGGAGCTGCTGCACTCAGCAAACTCTCAACAACAACACCAGTTTGCAGTGAGTCATCGCTGGCTCGGGCTTTGGTGGCATTGGACTCCTCATCAAATCAGCAGATGCTCCTGGAGATCATGTGAGGAAGTACTACTCCCAGTTCTGCTGTGCAGGCTTTTGTGCACAATTACAGCCCTGAGAATAAAATCCCTGGTTGGGAGCCTACTTGGTGTTCTCTCCAGTATGATGGTAGCATTTAACCCCTTGTCTGTTCCGGGAGATCTGAGCATCTTCCCAGAAACTGGAGCTGGCATGCCTGGGTACAGTGAGGTTTGAGATGGAAGTCTTGGCACTAGAAGCAAGTAACACCCTCCCTGTCCCACTGGGAGCTCATGGCCATTTCTGTTCAGCCCCTGGCTAGGCTGTGCTATAGATCTCCATTGCAGAGTGCAAGAAACTTGACTCAGTTAGACAGAAGCTCCTATCACATTCAGGGAGCCCCAAGCAAGTGGAGGACTTGCCTTTCTTGTGGCAGCTCTCCTCTCTCTGTCCCTCTCTTGTTCCCGACTCTCTGTGTCTCTCTATTTCACGGTCTTACTGTCCCTGGTTTGTCCCCATAGCCTCATCACCTTCCTCACACATTCTCCTCGTTTTTTTCCCAGTACACAGGAGCAAAATCTTTCCTTCCTGCTTTTTTTTTTTTTTTTTTGACAGGCAGAGTGGACAGTGTGAGAGAGAGACAGAGAGAAACGTCTTCCTTTGCCGTTGGTTCACCCTCCAATGGCCACCTGCGGCCGGTGCACCGCGCTGATCCGATGGTAGGAGCCAGGTACTTATCCTGGTCTCCCATGGGGTGCAGGGCCCAAGCACTTGGGCCATCCTCCACTGCACTCCAGGGCCACAGCAGAGAGCTGGCCTGGAAGAGGGGCAACTGGGACAGAATCCGGCGCCCCAACCGGGACTAGAACCCGGTGTGCTGGCGCCACAAGGCGGAGGATTAGCCTAGTGAGCCGTGGCACCGGCCATAATCTTTCCTTCCTGCTTACCAGAGGTAACTTATACAGGATGACCTTTGATTCTACCCTCACTATCTCTGAGCACATGCCCCAGCATTTGCTTGTCTTCTGGAAGTGGTCAGATGTCTGCTAATAGTGGTCAGTGCCCACTATTCCAAAGACATCTCTGTCTCCTAGAAGTACTAGATGACCCTACTTCCCTTCCCATTTCTCTACAGAAGACACATTGGCTCTCTCACCTCCTTAATACCATTCAGCTTGGGTTCTAGCCCATCACCTCTGAACTGGCTCTCTTAAAGGTCACAAATTTGATGCTTTCTCATTTTTGCCCTCTCGGCAGTATTTCATTATCTCTTCTTCTTGAAGCACTCTATTTCCCATGGAGTTGTTCTATTTTTGTTCTCTTCACTCTACTTTGCTCTGTCTGAGATTTACTGATGGCATTATTCTTCATTATTGTATTTCAAGAGCCTCTTTGTGCACAGTCCTTTTACACATTTTAGTTGACAAGTACTATTTTAAACTGCAATTCTGAGTTCCAAAATGTACTGTTAATCTCTTTGGGTTTGCATCAAATTGAAAATTATGAGAACAAAATATTTCAGAAAAACAGACTTTTCTCAATGATTTAATAAAAAGAAAGTTTAGTTACACAGAATCCAGCATAATGCTGTAAAAACACTAAAGCCAAGATTATCAAATAAGATCTGTAGGAGACTCAGGAGACTTCATGGCTTGTCTCAGATTGACTACAGCTTTTTTTTTTATAGATTCAATTATTTATTTGAGAGGCAGAGTTACAGAGAGGCAGAGGCAGAGAGAGAGAGAGGTCTTCTATCCGCTGGTTCACTCCACTGATGGCCACAACAGCCAGAGCTGTGCCAATGTGAAGCCAGGAGCCAGGAGTTTCTTCTGGGTTTCCCATGCAGGTGCAGGGGCCCAAGGACTTGGGCCATCTTCTACTGCTATCCCAGGCCATAGCAGAGAGCTGGATTAGAAGTGGAGCAGCTGGGACTCAAACCAGAACCCATATGGGATACCAGCACTGCAGGCGGTGGCTTTACCTGCTATGCCACAGCGCCAGCACCTTGACTTCAGTTTTTGACCTGTTCTCTTCAGCAAATTGTGAGTGCTGGACTAGAACAGATCATCTTCTAAACTATATGTGCCTCTTCCCTAAACCAGCTCCTCTTCCTGATTCTGCAATTTCTGGTAATGCCAACAACACCATTACTCTCCCGACATTCCAGGCTCAGTTTGGAACTCTCAGTTGTCTGAGCTGTGTTCTTGTCCCTTCGTTCTGTCCTCTGTTCCCCTGCAACATCGGTCACACTGGATCTTTTCCATGCCTGCTGCCCCTGCTGCCATCATCAAAGTTCCTGGTTTCAGACCTTGGTTTCATGTGTCTCACTGCAACCACTGCAATGCCTCGCCAAGGCTTCCTTGCCCCCAGCTCTCATCTATCCTACCCAGCCTTGCCAGGATGATCTTCCCAACTCTGGTAGGAGCATTTCCCTACTCAAAAACTTCCCATGGCTTCTAATTGTCCATGAGAGAGTCAAGATCAGTTGAGATACCACTGTGCTCCTACACTAAACATTAGAAAGTATATGCAAAACAAAACAATAACTTGGGAAATGGAAATTATGGGGCCAGTGCTGTGGTGTAGTAGTAGTAGTAGGGTAATCTTCCCCTGTGGTGCTGGCATCCCAGATGAGCACTGGTTCAAGTCCCAGCTGCTCCACTTCTAATCCAGCTCTCTGCTATGGCCTGGGATAGCAGTAGAAGATGGCCCAAGTCCTTGGGCCCCTGCACCCTCATGGGAGACCTGGAAGAAACTCCTGGCTCCCTGCTTCAGCCTGGCCCAGCTCCAGCTGTAACAGCCATTTAGGGAGTAAACCAGTGGATGAAAGACCTCTCTGTCTCTTCCTCTTTCTGTCTGTAACTGTCTCTCAAATAAATAAATAAACCTTTAAAAAAAGAAAATGGAAATTAGATGATATAAAAAAGAACATACACAGAAGGTCCAATATGTAGTGTTCCTACAGTCCCGGGATCATCCTGCAGACCCTCTGGGACCTTTGGGACTCACAGACTCCCACAATCCCTCTCCAACCTCCATTAGTGGTCACTTCAAGCTCTAAGACCTTTCTCGTGTTTTCTCCTGTAATTCCCTTTATGCTCCTGTACACTCTCCACCTCCACGTAAACCCATGTTCTGTCCTGACTGAGCCTTGATGCATGCTACTCTATACAAAGCATCTCCTTCTCTGCCTGTTAAAATTCTGGCCACGCTTTAAGGCTCAACCCAGATGCTACCTTCTTCAGGAAACCTGACAAGACCTTTTGTTTCTGAATTTCCATAGCTGGCAGCTTGACTCCTGTCTTGTGACACTCCTATCTGCTGCTCTGTGTAATATGTGGTTGTTTGTGACATACTTCAGTTCCTCCACTAGCTCCACAGAGCTCCTAGAAGCTAATGAGATCTTATTTAATCTTTGTATCCCCTGCACCACCCATCACAGCAATCCTTGATGGGTATTTGAATGGATGATGAGTTCCTAATTGGTACACTTCAGAAGTGGCCTGGTACCTGGCTCCTGGCTCTCATCAATTATTGCAGGGTCCCTTCTCTCGCTCTCTTTCCCTCCCCCCACCCACACTCCTAAGTGCAAGCCATAGTCCTGGGATGCTGAACACCAATAGGAAACACACCAGTGAATTAGGTCTAGTCCATCCCATCAAGATACTCAGAGACTCCTCTATGTAAGAGGTAAAGGTACTGAAATATTTATAACATGGGGCCTGCAGTGGCAAGTGCCAGAGGAAAAGAGTTTAATGAGAGGTTCAATATATAGAGATACAGAATGAACCGCACAGTAACAGATAACAGCTGGAGGTCAGGCACCAGGCCACTCCTGCAGTGCACAAGAACCTAGAAAATAATGATAATGGAACTCATGCCCACCTGTTCATATCTGTGTCCTGGAGAACAGGATGGCATAGAATAAACCTAGACACACAGAGCATGGGTGTCCTCATGCCACGGGGGCTCAGGAGGTCCAGGGATTTTCTGCAGCTAGCTAGCAGCACAGTAAAACCAGAGGCCGGAGCCCTGGGGTACATCAGAAGCACCCACAATGTTCAGGTCAATGGCACCCTGCTCTCCCAGCAGCTGCCACTTCCTGTAAGAATGAGCTAGACAATGGCTGCTACTGCCCCCTGTTTCTGGGGCGTGTCCATCTTGACCCTGGCCCAGAAGTGGGTGAAATCAGATGGAAAGCTTACCAGGCATCAGGCACCTTAATCCTCAAGACAGCAGAATGAGGGGTGATTGTTCCTAACATTTTGTGGCTAGAAAAAATTCTGACCACATAAATAACTTGGTCAGGGCCATAATGGATGTGAACTCTGGTGCGTCTGAGTGCAGGTTCCCAAAACCACCTGCCACCACGCCCCACTGGGTTCTGCCCACTGTCTGGCTGTCCTCTGTGGCTCTAATCTCTGGAGCATCACTTGGTGCTGACGGAAAGGGCAAGTTCGTCATGGCCAGATGCTGCCCTGCCACTCCACGAACTTGTATTCTTGTTCCTAGCTCTCCTAGCAGTCTGCCCCTTCCTATGGCAACTCCTTTCTCTTTGAAACATTTTGGCAGCAGGAAGCCATCAAGTTCAAGACAAATTCAGTCCTTGTTGTTTCCCCAACCCTGAGCCGTGACATTACACCTACTAAAGTCAGCCGCACTGTGTGAGGGAACTTAATCAGAGCGTGGAGTGACAGAGCTCACCTGGGACACAGCAGTGCCTGGTGAACAAAGAGTGGGGGCCGGGGAGACAGAGGCGAGGGCGGCCTGCTCAGAACAGGCAGGCTGCTCGTGGCCTTCACACCCGCGGTGGCCCTGACCACATTGTTCCCTCCCACTCGGCAGCCTCAGGGCGGACAGGCTGAGCCTTTGTTCTCTTGTTTTTGGAGCTGAGGGTGGGGGTGTGGGGCAGGGAGTTCTTTCCTGGCTCTGCCATCTTCTCTGCATGGCTTCTCCTCGGGAATGTTCCGTGAAACATGCACTGGCAATCTTGCCGCTGTTCTGGCAACTTTCCTCCTACTCCATTCTCTCAGTGATTGGTGCACTTTAACCAAAGCCCCTCTTGGGTTTGCCTGGAGCTCACACGCTCTGTTGATTCACTCTCAGTCTCCAGCAGAGACGGCGCTGACTCAGGCTTGTTGAAGAAATGACAACCTGAATAAGTAAGTGGCCAGCCTCTCCTGACCTGAGTCCTGCTCATCAATCACCTCCCTGTAATCAGCCCTCCTAAAAGGAGCCTGGAGCAGGAAAAAAGGAGTTAGAGGGTGGGAGTTTGGCCTGGAGTTAAGAAGACAACTGGATTTCCTTTTCAGGGTGCCTGGGTTTGAGTCCTTGCTCCAGCTTCCTGCTAACATGGACCCTGGGAGGCTGGGATAATGGTTCAAATATTTCAGTCCCTGCTACCCATGTAGGAAACTTGGATTGATTCCCTGGCTCCCAGCTTCGGACTCACTCAGCCCAAGCTGTTGCAGGCATCTGGGAGAGTAAACCAGAAGCTGAGAGACCTCTCTTTCTCTGTCTTTCTGTTTCTCTCTCTGAAATAAAAAAAAAATCATTTATTCTTTCATTCACAGACAGCAACGTCTAATTTTTTTTTTCAGTTCACAGATGAGGAAAGTGAGGCTCAAAGAGGTTAAATGTTATTCCAGACCACACTGCAGGATGATGGCAGAGGTGGAAGTTTAATCTAACCCCATGTAAGTCTAGGGTCATGGCTCTTGAACTTGACCCAGCTAGTGGGCAATAAGTGCCAAGAAGCAGGAATTATGGTTCTTTTTTATCTTTTATAGTGCCCAGTGCAGTGCCAGGATACCCAAAAAATGTTAGATAAGTTGAATTTGGAAGTAGAAGGAAGTTTTCCTTCATTTATTCATTCAACAAATACTTATTGAATGCCTGCTATGAGGCAGATAAATTTCTGGGTCATTGGAGACATTGCAGTGAACACAAATATTCTAGTGGGCAAGAGAGACAATTAATTAAGTGAATGGTGTAGCGTGGCAGTTGGTGAAAAGTACCGAGGGAAAAAGTAAAGCAGGGCAGGAGGATTGCAAGTGTCATGAAAGAAGCCTTCAAATTTTTGATCAAGAGGGTGGCAGTTGCTGAGAGGGCTACTTGAGCCTGCACTTGAAGGAGGAATGGGAATGAATCGAGGAAGATTCCAAGAAAAGACACAGCAAGTGCACTGGCATGTTCAACAGCATCAAGGAGGCCGATGCAGCTGGAAAGCAAGAGTAGCAGGAGATGAGGTCAGAGGAGAGGGGGAGGCACAGATTGTAATGACCTTCAATTTGCTCTGAGTAGAGAGTAGTGACAAGGTCTGACATAAGTTTTAACAGACTGTTCAGGATGTGTATAAAAAATAGACTTCAACCCAATTAGAAGATGCTTGAATAATCTGGGCAAAATATGATGATGATCACTATGGTCAGGATGGTAGCAGTGCAGATGGTGAGAGGTGGCTAGATTTGGCATGTAGTGTGAAGGTAGAAGTGACAAAGTTTGCTGATGAATTGAATGTGGGATGTGAGAGAAAGAGAAAAGTCAATGATGACTTGATAGTTTTAGGATGAATAATTTGAAGAACAGAATTGTCATTTACTGAAATGGAGACTACTGATGGAGACAGGTTTTATAGGGGAAGATCAAGGGCATCTGTTTGTCTCATGTTAAGTTTGCTTTTTAAATGGAAATGTCAAGTAGGGGTAGGGTAAGAGGAAAATCAGAGAGACCAAGAAAAGAAAATGAAGAAGGATTGGCATGACTGTACTCAATGCTGTTGTAAAATGGTTACTGGGTTCAGTTACATGGGGTCCTTTCCTACCTTGATTAGGGAGTTCAGTGGAGGAGTGGGGGGGTCACACAGTGATTGAAGAGCTTTGAAGAAAGCAGGAAGAAGAGAACTTGGAGGCAATGAGCATAGACAAACCTTTTGCATAGTTTTGCTATAAATGGTAGGAGATAAATGAAGTAGAAGTTGTAGGAAGAATTAGAGCCAAGAGAACATATTTTGATATAGGAGAAATAACATCATGTTTATATATTGATGGGGGAAGTCTAATTTATAGAGAAGGAAAGCTGATGTGAAAAAGACAGAGTTGGAGAAGACGAAGGGAAGGTGGGGCACGAGGATGTGTTGCTGAGGCAATGCTTGTAATATACAGAAGAAGATGGGACCAAATGCACAAGTGGACAAACCAGACTTTGAAAAAGTATGATGAGTTCATTCTTAGTTACAGGGAAAAAATGCTTGCAGTCGGTTACATGGGGTAAGCCAGTTTGTGAAAGATCTCTTCTGATTGTTGCTATTTTCTGAGTGAAGTAAAAAACACAGTTTCTAAGTAAGAAGGGGAGAGTGAGTGAGAGAGTCGAGTGGAGGAGAAAGTATGACATCATCTTATAGGACAGTGGGAAGGGTGACTGGACTTGGGAAATGTATATTGCCAGGTGGTACTAATAGTCCCTGAAGATGTAGGAGAAAATCTGTTGAAGAGCGAGTTCTTCAAGATAAGCCACGTTCCTCAAGGAAAACAAACTATGAAAAGGCTGAACAAGGGGTTTTTAAAGGTTTGAAATAGACACATTCTTACCTCATGTGGGTCATATTGTTTGAGGCTCCCACCTTCGTTAAATTCAGTCAAGACATCCTTAATCTTCTTGGAGGAATCTGCAGAGAAAGAACCCACATGTGAAACACTGGTAAATAGCTAATGGGACTGGAATCAAATAAATTTTCCCTGTCTGGAGCACCCCTGACTCCTGAGAACATATGGTGAAACTTTACCCTTATCCACCCTCTGCTCTCTTATTTCTTTTCTTCTGTTCATGCCTTCACCTATTGTGTGAATTATTTTTCTAAAACATTCTGATCAGATCATATCTCTGCTCAAAGCCCTTCATGACTTGTTTTCCCAGGACAAAGCCTAACTCCCCAAGCTTAAGATACAAGCCCATGGTGATCTGACCTAGCCTATTCCTTATTTGTCCATTCACTCCACTTTTCAGATACACCAAGTCCAAAGCTTCTGAATACCCTATGTACTCTCTCATCTCTTCCATATTTCTTCCCTGTCTTGCAAACTTCACTCAGTCTTCAATATATAGCTCAAATGTCAACCGTTTCATGAAGTCTTCCTTTGCATCTGCAGGTTTAATCATTCCCTCCCATGGCTCCCAAGTGTGTTGTATACAATTCTATACTAATGAAGTAACACTTTGACAATAGGGAATCCATGTTAGAGCACCCCAGACTCCATCTTGAGAAAGCGCCCCTCCGCCTTGAGACTATGGTCTGAAACTATGATCTAAAACTCAGACAATAACATTCCAAGGCATCCCACTTGACAGAGCATAGAAACTCCCAAGCATGACCACTCAGGCTTAAACAGATAGGCTGTACCTGGATTAATGTTAAGATTGTAATTTTTCTGTTGTCAAGATTGTAATTGATATTGGTCTCGCATAGGCCTTAGGTCAGCTTGACCTTAGTAACCATGAATTCCCTCTGATCCTAGCAACCATGTATTCCCCTTCTTTTCCTTGTGGTTTTTGCCTTTATACACCCTGTTGCTTTGAGCTTCGGGGTTGAGAGTTCTTTAGGGCAAGAGCCCACTCTCCACCACTGGCAATACAGGACCACAAAATTCTATCAATGTCTAGTGTTCCTCTGTTTGTGCTCACTCAGGCACAGCACTAGCACTTGTAATATAGCATTATAATGACTTATTAACTTGCCCATCTTGCTTATCTCATTTTTACCTTAAGAACTGTAACTGACTAGCAAGTCTTTGTATTTTTACCAAGATCTGATGTTGTAACTATGTTCAAAAGAATGCTATGAAGATGAATGTATGAACATGTGAGCAGAAATTTTAAAACATCAAAAACATCATTAATGATAGAAGATGGGCTAGCATTAAAGCCTAAGGGCCCTGTCCTTGGTGCTGAAACATTGTTGCCCTACCAGGCAAGATGGTTTCTTGTAATTCTAGGATCCCTGACAGTGCTGCTCCTCTTTTCTAGATTTTGATTTTCTGTCTTCATGGGGGAAATTGAGCTATTCATCCTGACACAAAAACATAACCTCAATTATACCTCATAATTAGCATGCCTAATTTAATGTCCCTATGGTAGTTCTATCATATTTCTGACAGTCAGAACTTTTCCTCTGGATGCTGAGCCATCTCTACTCTCTCATGCTTTCCTCTCAATGTTCCATACATATTACATTTACATTGGAAGGGGGAGAAGAAAGAATCAGAGGATTTGTGAAGCATGGTGGTTTAGAAAACCACTTTGCATAGGAAATAATTCAGAAACTACTGTAGACAACAGTGGCTGCTTTTTTTTTTTTTAATAAGGGAATTAGGAGTCAAGAAAAGAGGCTCAGTAATTTTCATTAGAACCACATTGTGAATGCATCCTGTGTGGTTATCAGCACTCTAGAATCAAAGAAAACCAGGGCTTCTGTGGCCTGTGCTCACCCCATCTTGCAGTATTATGGGTAAGTAAGAGCTTCCCAAGGTCTATTAGTGCTGCTATTTAAATGTCTGAGCAAAGGGCAATATCATTAACAGATCACACAGTGTTCTTTGTTGTCCAGGCCCTTTGTACAGGGAGTGATGGTCTGTTGGGTCTTGGTAAAGTAGATGAACAAGTGGGGTGGGCTATTCTCCATGGCTCCAGTGACTTGGATTTAATCAAGCAGAAGTTCTAATCATTTCAGGATGGAGACATGTTGAAAAGCCACAGAAATGCTGCTGTTTCCCCAAAAAAGGAAATTTCTTTCTGAAATTCAAAACAGATGTTAAAAAACTAATAGCTCAGTAAGATCCAGGCAGCAGATGCCATCAGTTTGGACTGTTTCCATTCAGTTCAGAAAACACTGAGGAGGGTAAGATGCTGCAAGGTACTGTTAATGTGCTGCAGGGCAGGATGGTCTCAACAACTGTGGTAATAATAGCTGCCCCTCACTGGGGCCTTGGCCGCATTAGCTGCCCCTCACTGGGGCCTTGGCTGCATATTCTTTTAAACTATCCCCTACCAATCCATGAGGATTTGGTAATATTTTCTTTGGTTGAAGATGAGGAAGCTGAAATTCAGAAAAATGAAGTGACTTCTCCAAGAGCCAGAGTTTTAACTCAGGTCTAGTCTGGATCAAAATTATTCTGTATCCTTTTCCCTTAAGTATTACTTACTGTTGCTTCCCAAGCATTTTCAACCCAATGAGAGATGTAATTCATGCTGTAGCAAGATAGGAAGCTCTAGGAACTACTGAGCAGGCACTCAGGTAGGCCTAAGGATGTCCTGTGAAGGAGGTAGCATTGCAATTGGGATATAAAGGAGAAGTAAACTCCGAAAGCAGACAGACATAAATAGCAAAGGGTATTCTTGGAAGGGGCATGGTGAACAGGCACACACAGATGAATACCAAAAAACAATTTTTCAAAGTTAGTGACAGAGAATGGGCCACATTTGTGAGGGATCTTGCATGCCGAGTTAAAGACACTGATGTGGAATTGTGAAAGTTTCCCCCTTTTTTTTTCTGTTGAAGCAATATAATCAAGACTCCATTTTCTTAAGGCCTCTCTGAGAATAGAACTGAAGAGAGTTGAGAATTAGGCCACAACTCAGTTAAGGTCACAAATTACTCAAATTATTCTATAGGCAGCTTAATTATTTAGAAAAAAAATTTTAATGGGAATTTTCATCTCAAAGTGGCTAAATTTAAAAAAAAAGATTTATTTTATTTATTTGAAAGACAGAGTCACAGAGAGAGAAAGAGAGAGGTCTTCCATCCACTGGTTCACTTCCCAAATGGCCGCAAAGACCAGAGCTAAGCCAATCTGAAGCCAGGAGTCAAGAGCTTCCTTTGAGTCTCCCATGTGGGTTAAGGGGTCCAAGGTCTTGGGCCATTCTCTGCTGCTTTCTCAGGTGCATCAGCAGGAAGCTGGGTTGGAAGTGGAGCAGCTAGGACTGGGCTTTACCCCACTGCACCATAGCACTGGCCCCTCAAAGTGGCTAAATTTTTAAAAATGTAAACATTGTGGCTTCTCCAAGAGTGGTGTATGGTCAGCATTCTGACTGAGAACCAAAGGAGCGATTTCAATTGAATTTACACACGTTTGATATTATTGTCACATTTTGGAAGTTCCTCAGTTCACTCTAGCAGAAAATTTTTAGTTCTGAAAGTGCTACAAAGTCACACTTTATATTTAAATGTCAGACACACACACACAGAGTCATCATTGTTCACATTAAAGGAGACAGATTTTAAAAAGGAAAAAAAATAGGGAAGATATCTATTTTAAGATATCTGATTAACAGCCTAAAATTAAGTTGAAAACAGAATCCAGGCAATTTCCGACTAGCTCTCTGTGAGGGTTTTCCTCATCACATGCTTTTTTCAATCTGTTTTATGAGCTTTTAGAGGCAAGCATCATCAATAGCATGTTTTCGTAAAAAAAAAAAGGGGGGGGGAACGATCTAATTCTCAAATTTTAGCCACATCCCTTTGTCCTTGGCTGTCCTCTGACACTGTATGACAGCTTTTTTCTCAACCACTTCCTGGATTGGTTTCTCTTGCCATGGGATTAGTGGGTGCTCTGCACAGCTAGCCTGCTCTGACAATTACTGCTCCACTCTTGCCTAAGAACAGTGAGAGGCTTCTTTGGAGCAGTCCCTGACCTCATGTCACAGCCCGTTTCACCTTGCCACCACCAGACCCAAAGGATAGCATGCTCCGTTAAGTATACAAAACAGGGCCACGTCCACTGCTCTTTGTCACCACTCTGACTTTGTCAAGTGTCTAGTATACGTTCGGCCCTCTCCCAGTAGAGAAGAGAAAACCGGAGCTTATGGAATATAAGCTTGGGAGTGAAGCAGTTTTAACACTGTATAAGTAAGGGGACACAGATATTAGATTTGCTGAATACAGAGAGACTGCTATAACTCTTCCTCTAGAACAGTGGCTCTCAAGCCTGACTGCACGTTGGAATCAACTGGGGGGCCGTCCACACACAGAAACCCAAGACTTACACCAGCTGAGTTAAGTCAGTGTATCAGGGAAACCCAGAAACAGCGTATTTTAAAACTGCCTGAGAAATCCAATGTACAGTTAACGTTGAGGACTACTGTTGTATAACTGATTTTATTTTTGCAAGTTAAGACTATCTGTTTTTTTTTAAATTACTTATTTATTCAAAAGACAAAGTTACAGAGAGACAGAGATCTTCCAACTGTTTGCTGGTTCACTCCCCAAATGGCCACAACAGCCAGGGCTGGGCCAGGCTGAAGCTAGAAGCCTGGAACTCCATCTCAGTCTCTTATGTGGGTGACAGGGGCCCAAGCACTTGGGCCATATTCCACTGTCTTCCTAGGAGTATTAACAGGCAGCTGGATTGGAAGTGGAACAGCCAGGACTCAAATCGGCATCCTTATGGGATGCCAGCATTGCAGGCAGCAGCTTAACCTGTTATGCCACAGTGCTGGCCCCAGTAAAGACTATTAAGAAGCAGCTGAACTTGTTGGATAATTATTACAAAGGGAAAAAAACTTATAATTCTGCTAAATCTAAAATTTCTGTGCATAGCAGGTGTTCTTTGTTGTTTAAGCAGACAACATCAAATAATTCAACCCAACAGGTAGATTTTTTCACTTGCTTGACAA